GAACCAGCCGTTACACTTGAGTGCACACCCACTCGCTCTGACTGGGTTCGGTATCCCGGCTGCTTCGTTTTTCTTGGGAAGTAAACCCGAAGTACAAAATATTGCACTTTTGATTTTGCGATTGTACGCTTATAATTTTGTTTATATGTTTTTCATAATCAGCAATGTATATTATGTCATGAATAAGTGATAATTGTGTTTTAATTATGTTTGATTTTTGGTTGCATGTGACCTTTAACAATATGATTTATCAAGAACGTTCAAAACAAATTTGCTTGTGTTAGTGCTATAAACTTCTTATAAGTTTGTATATATTATGTTTTATATATTTGTATCATTTATTATGTAGATAATAGAAAACACCCTTGCCAAAAAGAGCAATCAATCTATTGGCAGTTAACCCTTTGAAAGAAGGACAAATTTAATTGTTTACAGCTGAAGGTCATTAATAAGATATGTTAAATATTATACAAGAGAATACAAGAGAGCCAAATATGAACAAGCCCTAAAGAAGACGCAATTGATGTCATCAGAGGAAAGTGACATGAACGACGATGGCGTCAAATTCTTCATAGTAAGACCGAAGGTGGAATCAAGGGAACTAATGACAGCAAAGAGGCTTGCAGATGCAAGTTTTCGAACATTAGAAGGACAAGGAGCCATCCCAAAGACCAGACGCGTGCGTGGTCCGCCATCTAAATCAGAATTACCGGTCATGAAGAAGGATCTTTCATGGGTCAACACGGAATATGGAATGCTTTAGAGTGAGGATAGTTCTACGCCGCTTCCAATATTCCAGCAATATCACGATGCAGGAAACCAGAAATGGGCTCCACCCATTGTACCCATGTGGGGAATCGAACCGGGTCTTTGTGGAGTAACGAGCCAACGCCTTAACCACTAGGCTACCCAAACCATTTGTTTCAACTTTGAACTACAGTCATGTTTATAAAAGCTTGCTGACATTTGATTAGAGATAATTTCTCCGGTAATTATCAAGTAATTGTTTTGTTGGTAAATACATTGAGTCTGTAGCATAAATAGTAATTGACAATTATACATGTACCCTACCCCAACCGCCTCGGTATGCTTTGAAGAAAATGTAAATTTGTGTAACATATTTTTGTAAATTTGTACATGGTATGTTTTTATGAAATTTAATCTTTCTCTGTCTTCTTGGCAACATATGTGCAATCTGAAAATTCTTTTCCGAATATAAATAAACATCAATTTTAAGTATGACACTATCCGTTTGTTTTTGGATCCTTTCATTTGCATGAAAGTCGGGAGTATTAAAGTAAATTGCGTATAATACATTACCATTTTCATCAACACTGCTATGTTGACCATGGAACACTATCAAGCTAACATCAACTTGATTTCAGTGTTATATTATGATAACTTCCTTATTCACACAATCAACTAAATCCAACACAATACAAGTTGCACCGCTTAAGCAATCCACTCCTTTGATAATCTCCTCGGTGCATTATCGCGATAATGACATCGCGAGATATCGAACGAGCCTACAGCTCAGCAGGAACAGAAATCGTGACAATTGTTGTGAAAAATGAAAGCTGTATGTTTATCAAAGTGAATACATTTTTTAAGAAACCAAATTATTCATCAAAGTATACATTAAAATCAATATGGGTGGTAATTGTCCTCTCTGTAAAATAACTGGGTGGCTTTTGTCCTGCTCCCCTTTCCGAGTTACAACTTGTTTTCATAAACGATTCTGTCGTAATTGCCTGGTGTCGCTGGGCCTTATTTGTTCGAGACCAGTCGCTAGTGATAGTGAAAACTATGATCAGCCTCGCTCATCTCGGTTACGGTTAATTTTTTCAACCTAAACAGTGCGACAGTAGGAAGGGTGGATGCCCATCAGATGCCGTTATTTGAACATTTCCTCGGTAGTTCTTGTCTGATTGTATTAAAGTATCAAAGCAGTGTGGGCTTTTGCAGGTTTTCTAATGCGTGGATGGTATATTGACTCATCATAATTGATCCCATTTCTGTGGGTTTTTTACCTCGATATTTATTCACGTCATGTAACAATATGACGTATAATATTAAAAAAATGACATTTGATCCATTTGCATCCGTAAACTAAACAACCCCACTTTGCCATTGCTAGAAGGCTCTGAAAATTTACTTAGGTAAATAGGTACATACAGTTATAGCACACAGCAAATGCTTATATGTATTTCTTATGCAACAATGAAGTTCTGTCCGTATAGTCAAAATAGTGTCGGCCCATAGGTTTACACATGCAATACAGCAATTAATACTCCCATGTTTTAACCCGTGTTAGGTGGTATAAACCTACACATGTTATTTGTCATCATTCACTTGATGGTCAGTTAATGAATTTAAAACAGGTAACACCACTTAGATAACCCGACAAAGGTTCCCATTTTGCATTTCTTGTGTCTGGAGTAAATACCCAATATAATATACATCGATCAAAGGATTAACGGATAACACGCTGATTGATTAATTACTTTTATCTTACACAGCGGATTTGTCAAAAGGTATTGTTTATGTATGTAGATTAACTAATCAATACTGAATACACTCTGTCGTGTCTGTGTCTGCGTAAAACAACTTCCTTCTTTCGAAGGATTAACCGCCAAGACATTGATTGATTGCTCATTATTGGCTAACTAAATTACTTTTTTTGTAAAGAATGGCGGACATTGTGCAATTACTGGCCAGGTGTGCTATCTTGGGTGACCAATGAGACTATATACCTATGTAAAATACCTGAAACGATATATCACTTTTCGTGAACATGTATTAGACTGTTAAAAGACACATCATTTGGAACAGCTGCAGGTGAATGGCATACGGCTCGTTTTTGTGGATATTGATGGATACATTCCTCGAACAAAATAATAGCCTGACATCATTATAACTACTTGTTTTAGTTTTAATAATTGCATTTGGTTTTATTCATTTGTCGCAGCATTCCACAGAATCCATGATTTCGTCATGATTTACAATGTCTAGATATTCAAGTTATAAGTAAAGGCAGATCGCCTGATTTTTATTTAGCTTCAAAATGCACATAAGTATGATAATAAACTAATTAGGATTATAAGACCAAATAGAAAGACGCACGTTGACTAGTATCTACATACTGGTGAGTGGACATTAACCATGGGAATGTAGCAAGATATTTATTGCGCAGTATGTCACTTCGACCCCCACCTCGCTTCCGAGGAAGAAATCGTTATGTTATAAGTTGTGTCATGCCAAATCCTGTTGGCCATGATTCCAATACATATTTAACTACGAGTAGAAAGTAGTTTTGCTTTTCTAACTTGATGAAAACAAACCATAATCTCATTAATTCTTTAACAGACTTTAGCCCGTCATGTTACGATTATTAAAAATGGCAGCGCCCTGTCGCGAACATCCGCGAGTCTGAGAATAAATGCTATTTAGGTTTGTTTTCACCGAGTTACAAAATCAAAACTTCTTTCTACTGGTAGTACAATATGTATTTGATTGATGTCCCAATAGGATTTTGCGTGACATATCTTATATCATAACAATTTCTCTCGAGGAAGCGAGGTGGGTGTCAATATAACACTACTTACAATATTATTGTCACTTCCACCACGACCTCGCTGCCGAGAAAGAAATCTTTATGCTTCAAGTTGTGTCATGGAAAATATTTTTGGTCATCAATCATATATATATTGTACTACAAGTAGTAAGTAGTTTGATTCTTTAACTTCCGCGAAGCGATCTGGACAAATTTAAGATATCGTTCCAAGCTTCCACAACGCTCGCTTCGCACTCACAAACATAACCCATTTACTAAATGATTTAGCACGAACTGCGGGGTCCGGTGGAAATTAGTGCATGGTGACACCATCACTCGACCCCCCCAGGACGGCAACGCAACGATTGACAGCAACGCAACGATTCGTTTTGCTTTGAGTAAGTTTCGTTGTTCAGACCATCCTTTAATGTTGGAATAAGGGCGAAAAGTAAATATAAAACAACATGAGTGATTCTACCCTCTGTGTATTGTACTTACCATTGAATCAGAGTACCAATTCTTTATTGAATGTTCATTTTACTGTGATCTGAGAAACAGCCTTCTCCCACAATACTACATAAATAATCCATGTGAAACATTGACAAAAGAGCGAAGTTTTTGAATATAGAGTATAAGATTAAATGAGACATTGTACACGTTAGCATACAGCTTAATATTATATATGGCGCTGGATTGTATTTTCATCTTTATAATTGTAAAACGGGTCGGTGGCCCTTGTACGAAATTAACTCTCACTGACTAGATATAAGCTTATGATGATACATATTTAAACTCAACGTGACAAATTCACTTTTCACCCACAACATTGAACACTTAAAATGTGTTCACTGCAATTTCGACTAGTCAAGTCGATAATCCTTTCGTTAACCCTTAAACAATCATTACTAAAACAACAACAAACATCAAAGACTACCGCCAGTCGCCTTAACGACCCCATGAAACACTCATGCCGCCCCATGCCACTATTGCAATTAGCCCATGCAGAACAATAATTTACCATCACCCACCAGTTATCTCCCCTTGTGGATATTTCCAAGATTGGAAATTTTTGGAAACATCATCTTTCCAAAATTGGAAAGTCTTGGAAACATCATCTTTCCAAAATTGCTTGGAAATGTCTTTGTTCTGGTCGTATCCTAGTTCTGGTCGCTACATCATCTTTCCAAGACATTTCAATGATCAAACAATATGAGCCAAGCTGTCACTGGTCGAAAGATGGATTTTTATCAGTTTGAACAAATCTGATCTTAAAGATTTCCTTTCGCCACAACCAGGTGGTTCAGAAGGTTTGTCTTGATGACTCTCAATGTCTCCTACTTTCTAGGCGTAGTAAATACAAAAGTACTTTTGCGTGCTGTTTAAAAAAATTAAACCATATGAAAATGTTTGTCTTCGTTTAAACTTAGGAATAATTTCAATGCAAATCTGTGACGCAGAATCTTGATTTATTAATATTTGTGTGTGAGTTCCAGTGATTAATATGAAACATACATGTCCTCAGCCCAACCCCACTTACTTCCACGTTCATACGCAACACGACATGATGTATGCATCAATAGAGTACTCATAAGAAATTGTGAGTTTATCATGTATATTTTAAAGTAAGATAGCACCGTAACCCAGTAACAACTTAAATGCTAACCAAAGTAAATAGAGTAGCCTGTCAGTGTAACGAAAGTTTTTGCCGACGATGTTCCCAATGTTCTGGAAATGATGCCTCCGCTTCAAACTGTGCAAAATTATCATCCACAAAGACTCTACTCCGTAAGACATTCTGGGCTGCTGACTTTTCATTGGTAATGAAATCTTATAACAATAATGTCAATGATTTGACATAAAGCTGGCGAGAACACCAAATGTGTAAAGTCACCAAAAGAAATACCATTAGATAAATAGGTAGTTGACTGAAATTATACTTTCTGAAGTAAACAAATCCGATGTATCGGTCATCACATAATAGGCACTTTCTCCATATTAGGTGTACCAGAGGCGAGATCAGTCATTGGTAACGCCGCTTCTGTTCCCGTGGGTCCAGCTCCACCTCCAGGCTCTCCTGTGTAGATTCCTCGTGCATTTTGAAATTCCTCTTCCTTTTCCAGAAACACTTGGTACAAATATTGGGTCAGCTTCGCTGAAACCAGCTCACTGGAATTCCAGGAGATCATGGACAAGACAAGTACTCCATCTATTCCAAGGAAAGTGCTGATGAATCGAGTTATAGAGTGTTCGTCTGGGCTAGATCCTTTGGCAGCGGTAACGTGGGCAGCTATCCTGCCATCTCTTAGGAATGGAAGGAAAAGATAGCCTGCCCACAGGACAAGGTTAAGGATGGTGATGGAAGCCAGGAGGAAGATCCAGTACCAGAGGAAGGTGAAAATCTTCTCATAGATTTCGGTGATTGGTAGAGTGCACTGAACTGTATAATCGTGGACTGTCGTCATCCAGTGAATTTGAAAATTGCAATAACCATCTTTTACAAGCAAAGGTTTTATGATGGAGTCCATATCAAAACCAGCATAGGATCCAACCCTGATTGCCAGGTATTGTCTGAAGTATGTTGTTAGGAACACAAACTGGGCTATCAGATTGACACAGGAGAGAAGTTTCACAAATAGATACACAAGAGCCAAAATGATTCGATTTCTTCTCAACAGACTTCCGAATATTCGGGCTGCATCACTGAACATGACCTGGCTATTCTCGGCATTGGTCAATTGTACACTTTTCAGGGACTCCACGGTTTCTTCCATATTAAAAGTAAACAAGTGCTTGCTGCTGTTCCATATGATGTTTGGTAGTTTGAAAGCGAGCGCTTGGAAGAAGAGTATGAGTGGTATCCAGAGGTGATAGGAGGGTACAGGTTCCGGTTTTTCGTCGTCATAATCATCAGGCATTGGCTTCATATAATACAAGCCCTTCAGAAAACACGATTCCTGCGTGTACGAGTACTGAGACTGTTCGAATTGAGCAGGGCACCAACAACTGATGGGTGTAGTGATGTAACGCATGGCGAATGATCCCACAGAACACACGGCCAATAGAAGAACTGTCCAGAAGCTGTTGATGGAGTCGACATAATCCTGATCTAATCCACGTCCAAACCATGCTCTCAATCCTGCCATTGTTGTCTAAAACAAAACCAAAACAGCATTTGTCAGTTGAGTAAGAAAGGTTCGCACCTATTGCGCCATTGATTTCAAAGATGTGCACAGAACATATATTCTATGTATCGTATTTAAGTTAATGGGTGGCTTAAATTTTGCATAACATCGGCAGTATTGCATCCATCGTAATGAGAAGAAGTTAGTTATTGTCGACAAAAGAAAGTCAAACTGCGGCTTTACGACTCCCAGTTTAGGTATAAAAAACACATCAATATTAAAACAAATACTTTTTCATCAGAATATTTTTGAATAAATTATAACTAGGCTTAAAACTGGGCACAAAAACTGATGGGTGTAGTTATGTAACGCATGACAAATGGTCCCACAGACCACACAACCAATAGAAGGACTGTCCAGAAACTGTTGTTGGAGTCGACATAATCCTGATCTAATCCACGTCCAAACCATATATATTTATGAATTATGGGAATTATGTGGACTTCTGATTCCTGAATGATTTCCCAGCAAGATTTACGCCATAACTTTGAATACCAGTGGTTGTGTGTAACGCAAACAAATAAAGAAATCCAAATACTATTTGGGGATTAAAACATTAGTTAATGTTATATACTCTGATTTAGATGGACTCACGTGCCACCGCATTTCATATTAATAACATCTTCAAGTTATCGAATTCACAGTTCTTTGTACAGAAAAGATTGACCAAGAGCTGCTCTCGTTAAATGTACATCGTTTCAAATCTAGGACATCACAAAGCTGCGCTGTGCTCGACTCACACTACGAGTCGTAAAACATATTTTCCATTATCAAATATATTTGCAATTTGACACTTATTTGTTGACAATATTGGGATATCCTGATCGGGGATGGTTCAGGCTCTCAAAACGTCGTGAGAGAAATTAAAAAAGAAGTTTAATCCATAAAAATATCTTGGACATCAATGTACAACTTCTAAATGCCACTGAAAGACATCAATATTGGGATACTTTATGTCAAATGTCAACAGAATATCTCGACACATATGCGAACATATAATTGATAATTCAGAATCAATTTCAAGCTTCTCCTCACACACAGCTGCATTTATGATAATGACTTTCCAAAATATCTGAAGAATCTAGTAATTCCCCATACTCCCAGCAACTCACTTCTTCTCTCCGAGCCAACCACCAAGACTACTATAGGTGATAGAGCCTTCTAAGCTGCAGCGTCACTACTCTGGAACAGCCTCCCTATCACTATCAGAGAAATTAACTCTAAAGACTCTTTAAAAAGACACCTGTTAACAATCTCCCTCTCATAGACTTTTCAGACTTTCTTCTTCAGCGCCGTTAAGCAAATACTTTTGGAAGCAGGCGCTATATAAATATACTTCACTCGGTGTTCATCCACGAGTTGTTGATTGATATATGACCATCCCCTGTAGAAGCAAGTATACACTATTAAGTCTAAATAACGTAAGATTACAACAGCTATACTTACAATGATTTAGTGAAGGGGTCCTGTTCCTGAAGTGGGTATGTGAAATTAGCCTGTCTGAACCTCCTCACAGGGTAACAGTACAGACAGTTTACTTTTACATCCAACTGCAGAAGTCAACAGTACTGGCGATAGTAAACGCTTATAGTTGTTAGGAATGACTGCAGAATGTGAGTCAATCTGATTAGTCTTGCCATGCATGCATTAATTAATTAATTATGTCAAATTAGCCTCTGTGTAGCGGTAATTGTTGCAAATTATCAAGACTGACATTTGAGTACATTAGTACTTTTAACCTCTCTGGTTTCTACAACATGGACCGATTATGCTAGGAAAATGAATTCGAGTGATCTTGTTCAACACCAAGTCGATTAATTGTTGCGGACTCAAATTTGCCGTTTTTTTTCTTGTTTATTTTTAATAATGAGAGCCGTGACTGATTGGTTAAGGAGCGGGCATTTTCCATGCAGTTTGTTCACAGGCGAAGTATTAATGCCAAGTGAAATCGATCGACACACGTTTTGGGTAACTTTAGTTAACTAGTAGAAGAATCTCTGTGTTTCTGAAATGAACTGAATGTGCGAATGAATTCTGTAGAGTCAATCATCTTGGCTCATGTGTGTCAAAATGGCGTAAACACTTAATGAAACTGTGGACATATATTCCAGATTTGTATGAATGCATGTATGTAAGATACAATTGTTGTCAGCCGATAGCTCGGGGCATATTTAATGGAGGAAATAGAAAACAATATTTTGAAACGGGTTCAGGATTCAGAGGATAGGATGTGTGGAGAAATCAAATCAGTCAAAGAGGACATAAAATATCTCAAGTCTGACATCACTATTCTAAGGATTGAAATTAAACAAGAACAAGATATACTTAGAGTTGATATGGATGTTCTGAATGACAGGGTTATAGATACAGACAACTACCCATCTGAGTTAGAGAAAAGGATAGAGGATTAGGAACAGAGGAGTAGGAGATACAATATGGTGTTGTATGGCATATCAGAGTCTTCAGCTGAAGAGAGTCATACTGAGAGCAAGGCCAAGGTTCTTCATGTACTTAACACTGCTAGAGAGGTTACGAAATTAGCACCACTATTACCAAGAGACATGGAGAGGGCACGCAGGGGATCTAAGAGAAAATCAGATTCTAATAGGCCCCTGTTTTTGTGAGAATGTTGTATTGGGAGGACACGTGGCATAGTGTAAAAATGAGGGATATTGTAAGGGAGAATGGAACAGGCATCGCCAATGACCTCGCAGCAGCACAGAGACAAAAGCTTTCTAGGACAGAAGGTTTATCTTTAAGGGGAATAAGCTGCTGGATGAACCAAGAGAGATCACATCTAATGAGACCGCCACTGATATCTCTAGAGAACACCTCCTCCCAGGGCAACAGCAGCAATCAACAGCCACAGCCACAACAACAACAACAGCAGCAGCAACACCATCAGTACACTTCGTCGTTCCTCCAGGACACAAAACCGACATCAAATCGTTGTGAAGACAATAGTGATATGCCTAAGGAAAACCATATTATATCAGCTGAAGACATATATTTTATATTTTGGAACATATCAGGTATTATACATAGACTCTGTGAATCTGACTTTATTAGATACCTATTTGATATAATACGTTTAACTGCGACTTGGGCAGATGACTTAGATTTAGAACATGTGTTTCCAGACTTCTTTTCTATTTCCAAACATGCAGAACGAATTTCTAACTATGGCAGACTATCTGGTGGAACATCTGTCTGATAAGGAAAGAATTTGAGAAGTTTGTACTGTGGTTAATATTACTGTAAATGATGTATGTATTATGTTTCAAAAACAGTTTGGTTTAGATCGTGATCTGTTATATTCATGTGCTTATGTACACCAAGAATCATCTACCTGATACAACACACCATCATTATCTTGTTAAAATGGTATCAGTATGTTTCAAGAGTCTCCTAGATATACTTGCTGATGTTTATGAAGATGTTTATATCTTATGCGGTGGAGACTTCAATGCACGAACAGGTACAGAGGCAGATTTTGTTGGAGATGATCTACTTGAACAAGTTGAAAATCAAAACTTTTCAGTACTAAATTCTATATGCGATAATTTTAATCTAAGACGTTATTCTCCCGATAAGATAATGAACAACTTTGGTAGATATTTCCTTGATTTAAAGCTGTGCTGTACTGAACATGCACATAAGGAACGGGCGATCTGGCTCCGACTCTAATACCCCCATTTCACTGGGCTACGACCAATCAAGACTACCCGACTAGTCCCGATTCGTCACCTACGAAGTTATCGTTCTCAATCGGACAGTTTTTGTTTATATTTTCCTTTTCTACGCAGTATCTACGGTAAACCTACGTAATAGACGATGAAGAGACTGTAGAATAACGTATAAATGCCGATAACACTGCGATTGAGCACCTGTTGTTGATACGATTTCACCCAGTTTTGGCCGATTGGCTACGTTTAAATCACGTTTCTGCGGCGATATGTCTACGATTCACTCCCGATTCCTCTAGAAGCTCGCCGACACATTGATGTAAGGCTTACGATATCGAAGACTCATTGCCGTAATTGCCGATTACACGCGAATATTTCCGATCGAGGCCGAGTAAAGTATATATAATTAGCGAGAGAGAAACGTAAAATCGGCCTCCAAACCACAAAATGGTCCCAATTCTTTGATATAAAAGCTGACGATGACAGCCGATTCTTATTATCCAGGAACATGCTTACAGCTGCACAACTACTTCTTCTGCTGCAACAACATATGGGACTGGAGATAGATATCTATCAATACGGAAGGAACCAGGCACCAAAAAGAAGGTTTTGAGTACATCCGTGGTTGAGGTTGCAAAGAAGACTGAACTTTGGAAACTATGACAATCTCCTATCTGAACTTAGATTCGAAGACATGTCTCATTTCTTCAACTATCTGCGAATGCCTGTTGATATGTTTGATGAACTGCTTCATTCCCTGTCTCCCAGACTAACCAAAAAAGACACCAACTTTAGGAAAGCTCTGCACACAGGTCTGAATTTAGCAGTTACCATAAGGCATCTAGCCTCTGGAGACAAGTACTCCTCCCTCTCCTACCACTTCAGAGTGTCAAGACACACTATTCATGTCCTGTCACTCAAGGGGATTCGAAGACCATCAGTCTGGAATTCGAGCAGAGATGGAATCTCCCTCATGCTGTTGATGTCCTCGATGGAAAACACGTCGCGATTCGTAAGCCACCTGGTAGTGGAAACCTCTACAACAACTACAAGGGTTTCTTCTCCATTGTCCTGTTGGCCCTTGAAGAGGCTAATTACAGATTTCTATAGGTGGGCGTCGGAGGCCTGGGTCATGCGTAAGATGCACAAATCTTTAATGCCCCAGAGTTGAAGGAGTGTATAGAAGATGGCAGCATATGCTTGCCCGAACCTGAACCATTGCCAAATCATAATCTGGATATGCTTTACTTCATACTTGCAGATGATGCATTTGCCCTTCATCAATATCTAATGAAATCCTACTCAAGAAGAGGTCTGTCAGAAGCTGAAGTGATTGCCAACTACAGGATCTCCAGAGCAGGGAGAGTCATGGAGAATGTCTTTGGTATTCTTGCAAACCGATGGCAATTTCTTCTCAACACTGAGGGTCAAGATGTGGTTATGATTATGGTTGAAGTTGCCGTGTGGCTCGTGAAAGTTTCAAAACCAATAATGGTTTCACTACTTTAGAACATTGTTTTCAGTTGAAAATGTATATAATGAGAGAAATACTGAAAGTGATGATCATGATTTTGCTGTTACATAATGACCAACCAGTGACGTTACAAAATAAATTATTGACTTATTATCAAAAAGGGGAAAATGGTATTATAAAGTACCATAGAGACAACCACTTCTTATAAATACCTTGGTGTATATTTCGTGGTATACAAATACTAGGAAATTTAAGTTTAACATCCTTTTTCAGAATATTTGATGCTAAAATCAAACCAATTCTACTGTATGATGCGGAAATGTGGGGATAGAAATAGTTTGATACCATAGAAAAAGTACATTTATTTGCCTGTAAGAAAAGTCTCGGGGCAAAGATGAGCACATCAAATGTTATGGTATATGGGGAATGTCGCAATTACTTGCTTACCATATTTTCACAAATCAGGGCGATTAAATATTGGATAAGGTTATCAAGCATGCCAATCTACCGTTTAAAAACAGAATGACTTTTTCTCCAACATGTTTCGTTCTTTACTCTTCAGGGAGATTGTAGCGGTTACAGTATGACGTCATTACTTATATATTGTGACGTCACAATAGGGACAACATTCTAGAGCTAAAAGGTGTGATATTTATGACTGAACACCTGTAATATTTTGGACATTTTGTGCGTATAGATATATCACATAGATAAATAAAAACAGAATGACTTTTTCTCCAACATGTTTCGTTCTTTACTCTTCAGGAGATTGTAGCGGTTACAGCATGACGTCATTACTATATATATGTATTTATGACTGAACACCTGTATTTTGACGTCACAATAGGGACAAACATTCTAGAGCTTAAAAGGTGTGATATTTATGACTGAACACCTGTAATATTTTGGACATTTTGTGCGTATATATATATCTCAAAGTGATGAGATTACCGAGCGTACAGTAGTACATATATAAGAAGAAGTATCTGAAATTATCTTCAGAAGATAAAAGTGAAACATGTTGGAGAAGATCCGTGTCGTGTGGTTATTTCAGAAACTTCTTCTTATATATATATATATATATATAAGCTTCTTCTTATATATATATATATATATATAAGAAGAAGTTTCTGAAATAACCACACGACACGGATCTTCCAACATGTTTCACTTTTATCTTCTGAAGATAATTTCAGATACTTCTTCTTATATATGTACTACTGTACGCTCGGTAATCTCATCACTTTCTTTATATATATATATATATATATATATGAAATGTACAATATAGGTAGTAAAGATTAGATTGGAACATATTTAATCAGAACATATATCTTGATCATTCCCATTAATATCCACTCCATTTTTAGCTCAGTAAGTGTACTTTGAAACGTTGAACTTCATTACAAATGTTGTCTTTGTTTATTGTTTGGAATACGTGCAGTACAAATTCGATAGGCGATTGTATGTACACATGGCACCACATTTCCGGAAATCTGATGTTCTTTTTTGGTAAAATGTTCACTGATAAAACTGAATAAATTTCTCATGTTTGTGCAAAGAAGAGAAGACTTGAATTGACCATGGTGAAAAAGGGGCTGATGTAGACTAGTTTACACCGGAATGTGCGGGAAACTTCAGATTATGAATCGTGGTTCAGCATCTGTACCATATATCTTTGAATTTCATGTATCCATTAGTGAGCTTGTGTAATTACTATGAACTATATACATGTGCTTCAGCCAGGTCCCACCCAATCCAAACCAATCATACCGTGGCAAGAAAAACAATACCTGTGACTACACGGTGTGTTCATAAAAAAGTGCAAACTACAAATTGTCGATCATCCACATTTACGATAACGATAACTTCGGATTCTAGTTAGGACTCTTGAAATATAAGGCAACCAAAATGCTAAATAAAAAAAATACAGTATTTTGACAGTATAACTAATGTTTCGGCTGACAATGTTCCCGAAATGATATTCATGCTTCAAAAATGCCAAAATGTAATGAACTCTTGTACCTTAATGTCAAAGCTTTGAGTGAGTGAGTTTAAATTTTACATCGCATCGGTAATATTACAGACATATAGCGATGAAAACAAGGTAATCAATATAAAATATCTGTCGACAAAGGACAGTAAAACCAACTAGACTATGACAGATATGTATTTAAAACTAGTAATTAAATCTAAAATACTTTAACTATAGAGGACGATACAATATAAAAAAACCAGGCTGTAGATCGCCAACAACTGAAGGTAGATCACCATACCAGGAACCATGGGGACTTACAGTGCCTTTGCTACCTGCATGGACCCTAGTTGGATTTACACCATCCCTTAAGCTGCTGGCGATTGTAGGAAATGTTTAGCCGAATTTTAAAAGAACAAAAATACTACGTTTAAAAATCTAGTAAGCTTAAATTTAACTTTGAAAGTTTTGGACTTACGTACCCTCTCTGGCTGATTTTACGATACTTTAACCCCTCTGAGGGTACAGCCACAAACAATCGCAGTTGCTAATTTATACTACCATGTTTAAAATACCATTTATCTATTTACAAAACATATTATTCAAAATTTACTTAATAATTCTATTTCCTTTAAAACTTCAATTATTAAATGATAATTAACATTGCTTAAAAGATCCTTCGATGTTTTGACATTAAAATATTTATCCCTTATGATGGAGAATGCTTGACTGTGACTCTCTCATCACAAGGGATACAAAAAGGAGGATCTTCACCTTTTAACAGGTATTTGTGAGTATAACGCGTATGACCAATTTGACATCGTTGCATAATGACCTCCCCAAATCTGGACTGACAACCCAAGTAGGTGTAACCAATATAGGGTTTTATTTCATGCAGTTTATTGATACCTACTTGGGTGTCCCACTTCTTCTGCATCAGATCACGGATGTAGGTTCTAATGCTAGCTTTGTAATCAGAGTATGGTATAAGAACTGGTGTCACAGATTTGTTGAGTGCTGCCTTAGCAGCAAGATCAGCCATTGTGTTTCCAGAAATGCCAACATGGCTGGGTAACCAACAAAAGACGATGTCGCATTGGCCAGTAGCAAGTTCATTATACAGTTCAATAATTTCTATTAAAAGTGGATGTTTACAAGAAAGATTTTCATAGCCTGAAGGCACGAAATAGAATCGGAAAAGATTGTCTATGCTTTGACATATAGCTGGCGACAACACGAACTATGTAAAATAACCAAGTAAATGCAGTCAAACAAGTTGTTAAAATACGCCACTTCTGGATTAAGCAAATCCAATGCTTGGTAACCAGTTCTGTCATTACAGCATGGGCACTTTCTCCAGGTTTAAGTCACCAGAGGTGAGATCACTCATTGGTCAGGCTGCATTCGTGCCTGATGCTGCAGGTACAGCGCCACTTCTCGTTTCTCCTGTGTATAGATTTCGCTGAGCATTCAATTCCACTTCCCTTTCCCGGATGTTGTTTCTTTAATATGTTCACTGATAAAAGCATTGAAACATGCTATAATTCTCTCATGTTTGTGCAAAGACGACAAGGCTTGAATTGACCACGGTGAAATCCAGGCTGATGTAGGCTGGCATTACATCATCGCCATTTTCCCCAGGTTTGGGTCACCAGAGGCGAGATCACTCATTAGTAAAGCTGCATTCGTAACAGATGCTGCAGGTACGACAGCACCAATACCAAATTTCCCTTCGTAGAGATCTCGCTGAGCATTAAATTCCTGTTCCTTTTCCAGAAACACTTAGTACACTTGTTGGGTGAGCTCCGCAGAAACCAGCTCGCTGGAATTCCAGGCGATCATAAACAAGACAAGTATTCCATCAATTCCAAGGAAATTGTTGATTAATCGAGTTAGAGAGTGTTCATCAGGGCGAGATCCTTTGGCAGCGTTGACATGGGCAGCTATCCTGCATTCTCTTAGGACCGGCAGAAATAGATAGCCTACCCACAGGACAAGGTTAAGGATGGTGATGGCAGCCAGGCAAACATCCAGGAAGGTAAACATCTTCTCATAGATTTCGGTGATTGGTAGAGTGCACTGAACGTGGGTTCTCGTCATCTAGTGAATTTAAAAATTGAAATAACCATCTTTTACAAGCAAAGGTTTTATGATGGAGTCCATATAAAAGCCAGCATAGGATCCAACCCTGATTGCCAGGTATTGTCTGAAGTATGTTGTCAGGAACATCAACTGGGCTATCAGATTGACACAGGATAGAAGTTTCACAAACTGGTACAGAAGAGCCAGAACGACTCGATTTCTACTCAACAGACTCCCAAATATTCGGGCTGCATCACTGAACACGGCCTTGCTATTGTTAACATTGGTCAGTTGTACACCCTTCATTGACTCCACAGTTTCTTCCATATTGAAAGTGAACAAATCCCTGCTGCTGTTCTAGGTGATGTTGGGTAGTTTGAAAGCCAGGGCTCGGACGAAGAGTATGAGTGGTATCCAGAGGTGGTAGGAAGGTACAGGTTCCGGTTTTTCGTCGTCATAATCATCAGGCATTGACTTCATATAATACAAGCCCTTCAGAAAACACGATTCCTGCGTGTACGAGTACTGAGACTGTTCGAATTGAGCAGGGCACCAACAACTGATGGGTGTAGTGATGTAACGCATGGCGAATGATCCCACAGAACACACGGCCAATAGAAGGACTGTCCAGAAACTGTTGATGGAGTCGACATAATCCTGATCTTATGCACGTCCAAACCGTGTTCTTAATATTGCCATTGTTGTCTAAAACGAAACCAAAACTGGATTGCTCAGTCGAGTAAGAACGTTCACGACATTTGCGCCATTGATTTAAGAGATGTGCACAGAAAATATATTCTATGTATCGTATTTAAGTGAGTGAGTGACTTAAATTTTACATCGCATCGGCAGTATTGCATCCATATCGTAATGAGAAGAAATTAGTTATTGTCGACAAAAGAAAGTCAAAGTGTAAGGTAGTTATCACTGTTTTGGCATTAAAAAACCACATGAATATCAAAACAAACACTTTTTTCATCAGATATATATTGATTAAATTCAAACTAAGCTAAAAACCACTAGCAACCAAAGTGATTCTACTGCACTATGAATTATGGGGACTGCTGCCTCCTGAATGATTTCCCAGCAGGATTCACGTCATCACTTTGGTCACCTGTGGTTTCGTGTAACGCAAACCAACAAAGAAAATCAAAATACTATCGGGGAATGAAAACATTAATTAATACTATATACTCTGATTTAGATGGACTTACGTGCCACTGCAGTTATTATGAGTATCGTCTGCGAGTAACGTTTAACGAACTGACATTTCTTTGTACAGAATATAAATTGACGATGAACTGCACTTGTTAAATATACCACGTTTCAAAGCTAGGGCATCACACAGATGCGCTGTGCTCGACTCACACTAAAACAGATTTTCCATTATCAAATAAACCGTTATTCAGACGGTTATTTGGTGGCATTATTGGAATACTTTTTGTCAAATTAAATAGAACCTCCGAATCATAAATACTTCACTCGGTGTTCATCCACGTGTTGCTGATTAATATATCCCCTCTGGAAGCAAGTATGACATATTGAATGTAAATAACGTAACATTACAACAGCTATACTTACAATGATAAAGTGAATTGATCCTGTACCTGAAATGAATCTCCTCCCAGGGTAACAGTACAGACGGTTTGCTTCACATCCAACACAGAACTCAACAGTACTGACGATAGCAAACGCTCTGTCGCGTTATAGTTGTTAGGATTGGCTGCAGAACGTGGCGAAGAGGGGTTATGTCTCTCTATGCTAACATTATTACATCCACTTAATGTCTTCGTAGGAGCGGTAATAATAGCAAATTGTCAGTACTGACATTTCAGATGAGAACATCGAACTCTCCGGTTTCCTGTTATATGGACCGTTGATGGAGGGAAATGAAACCCAGTGATCTTTATCAAAACCACGTTGATTAACTGTTGCTGTACCAAAGTTCGCATGCTATTTTTTGTATTTGTTTTTGTTTTTATTACTGAATACAATCGTGCATTGTATTACAATATTAGCGTATGGTGCGTAAGGAGCGGACGCTTATCTTTCATGCTGCCCGTTCCAGCCGACGTACAAATGTCAAATGAAACCAATCGAAACACTTTTGGGGTAATCTGCTTATTTTCGAGTAACATTCTCGAAATGTCTGCTGTATAAGAACCTCGGGTTTTCTGTGAGGAACTGATGTTTACCCGAATGTATTCCATAAAGTCAAATATCGTGGCTAATGTGCGTCAAAAAGGTGAAACTGTAGACATCTATATTCCAGATTTGTATGAATGCATGTCCATGAGATAAATTGGTTGTCATCAGATACCTCTGGGTATGCAGTGTGGCACGAGGTGTGTAGGCTCACACACGGGGTACATAGGCTCACACACGAGGTACATATAGGCTCACACAGGGGTACATAGGCTCACACGGGGTAAATAGGCTCACACACGGGGTACATAGGCTCACACACGAGGTACATATAGGCTCACACACGGCGTACATAGGCTCACACACGAGGTACATATAGGTTCACACACGGGTTACATAGGCTCACACACGAGTTACATATAGGCTCACACAGGGGTACATAGGCTCACACACGAGGTACATATAGGCTCACACAGGGGTACATAGGCTCACACACGAGGTAAATAGGCTCACACACGGGGTACATAGGCTCACACACGAGGTACATATAGGCTCACACACGAGGTTACATAGGCTCACGCACGAGGTACATATAGGCTCACACAGGGGTACATAGGCTCACACGGGGTAAATAGGCTCACACACGGGGTACATAGGCTCACACACGAGGTACATATAGGCTCACACACAGGGGTACATAGGCTCACACACGAGGTACATATAGGTTTACTCACAGGGGTACATAGGCCCACACTAGAGTTTCATATAGGCTCACACACGGGGTACATAGGCTCACACACGAGGGGTACATAGGCTCACACATATAGGCTCACACAGGGGTACATAGGCTCACACACGGGTAAATAGGCTCACACACGGGGTACATACACACACGGCTCACACACACGGGTACATAGGCTCACACACGAGGTACATATAGGCTCACACACGGTACATAGGCTCACACACGAGGTACATATAGGCTCACACACGGGGTACATAGGCTCACACACGAGGTACATATAGGCTCACACACGAGGTACATAGGCTCACACACGAGGTACATATAGGCTCACACAGGGGTACATAGGCTCACACACGAGGTACATATAGGCTCACACACGGGGTACATAGGCTCACACACGAGGTACATAGGGCTCACACACGGGGTACTCACACACACGAGGTACATATAGGCTCACACACGGGGTAAACAGGCTCACACACGGGTACATACATAGCTCACACACGGGGTACATAGGCTCACACACGAGGTACATATAGGCTCACACACGGGTACATAGGCTCACACACGAGGTACATATAGGCTCACACAGGGGTACATAGGCTCACACACGAGGGTAATATAGGCTCACACACGGGGTACATAGGCTCACACACGGTACATAGGCTCACACACGTACATATAGGCTCACACACGAGGTACATAGGCTCACGCACGAGGTACATATAGGCTTACACAGGGGTACATAGGCTCACACAGAAGGTAAACAGGCTCACACACGGGGTACATAGGCTCACACACGAGGTACATATAGGCTCACACACGGGTACAAAGGCTCACACACGAGGTACATATAGGCTCACACACGGGGTACATGGGCTCACACACGAGGTACATATAGGTTCACACACGGGGGGGCTACACAGGCTCACACATGGGGTACATATAGGCTCACACATGGGTACATATAGGCTCACACACGGGGTACATATAGGCTCACACATGGGGTACATAGGCTCACACACGGGGTACATATAGGCTCACACACGGGGTACATGGGCTCACACACGAGGTACATATAGGCTCACACATGGGGTACATAGGCTCACACACGAGGTACATATAGGCTCACACACGAGGTACTTATAGGCTCAGACACGGGGTACATAGGGTCACGCACGAGGCAATATAGGCTCACACACGAGGGTACATAACACCATATACCCCTCGATATCGCTTAACTGTTTATTTGTGTGTCATACTGACCCAGGAACAAATATAAACAGTACAGAGCATGCATGTCTGGAACATTTCTAGAGCATACATTCTGTATGGAAATTTAGGGAGGTAAATGAAATCAACAATATTTAATCAGTGATAATTCCCATTTTCCACTTTTTGCACAGTAAGTGTACTTGTTGTAAGGGTTGTTCATTGAAAACTTTGAACCTTATTACATATGTTGTGTTCGTTTATTTAAGAATACTTCGCTAAATTCGATAGGTGATGAGGTGTGTGTGTGTGTGTGCGCGGGCGTATCGTGTGTGTGTGTTAGTGTTAGTGTGTGTGTTAGTGTGTGTGTGTTAGTGTGTGTGTGTGTGTGTGTGTGTGTGTGTGTGTGTTAGTGTGTGTGTGTGTGTGTGTGTGTGTGTGTGTGTGTGTGTGTGTGTGTGTGTGTGTGTGTGTGTGTGTGTGTCCACGTTTCCAGAACCCTGATGGTCTTTTTGCAAAATGTTCACAGATAAAAGTATTGAAACATGGTACAATTCTCTCATGTTTGCGCAAAGAAGTGAAGGCTTGAACTGACCACGGTGTAATCCATTTCGATGTAGGCTAGTTTACACATTTCCCTCCGAAAAGTGCAGCAAACTACAAACGTCAGATTATGAATCCTGGTTCAGCCATCTTTACTATGGATATATTTTTGAATTTCAGGAGTCTATTCGTGAGCTTGTGTAATTACTAAGAAACATACATGTGCTTTAAAGGGCCACTGATCCAGAGCAATTTCCGTGGACTGGTTGTTGCTTTTGTTATTGTTTTTCTCCAGAGAATACCCGGATGATATCCCAGAATTCATGACTGGTTCGTTACCTCTGCTGCGCCACCCTCATGTGCAATTGATAGTATAAGTATAGACTGATCAGCAAAGATGAAATCTTTTTTACTCGATAATCTTACGTTGATTTTGTTGTAAAATTATGTAGACTTTGATGAATAATTTGGTTTCTTATAGAAAAATATTCACCTTGATAAAAATGCTGATTTTGATGTAAAATTTTGATTTATAAAAATGTTAACGTTAATGGATGTAGAATTTCATTTAAGAAATAGTTTGACCTTGAATTTGGTGAGAAGTCCGATATAATAGCATTGTTTTGAAAGTAAGGCTAACTAAGTACATGGGGAGTCTTGGGGAGAGTAGTGAGCTTGGGTTCACTACTAGTCAATCTGAATGTTGTATTAAATGGCATTATTTTGATAACAAATGAAAACATTTTAAGTTTAACCATCTGCTAGTGGTAATAATTGTTAGGACTGAAATAACAAAGTCAATGTACGTCTTTGTATTTTGTGTTATAATCCTAATTAGTTAATTATCATATTTGTATTCATTATGTTGACTGTAATACCTAGACATCTTATAGATTGCCAACGTGTATCATATTTCACACAGACGCCCTAAGTGCGACCTAGTGTATGTTGTCTGTCTCATTACACTTCACAGCAAAAAAAAAAGATTCTGTTGAATGCCATAACAAATAAATAAAACCAAAATGCAAATATTAAAATTAAAACAGACCAAAGTTATTGCAACAATATCAGGCTATTACCTTGTTCAGGGAATGTATCCATCAATATCCACATAAAGGAATGAGATGCCATTCATCTGCAACTGACAAAATATCCTGTTCCATGTCATGTGTCTTTTAACAGTCTAATATGTGAAAAAGTGATCTATCGTTTCAGGTTTTTCACATTGGTGTATAGTCCCATTGGTCACCCAAGATAGCCCACCTGGCAACTATTTGCATGATGTCCGCCATTCTTTAAAAAAAGTAATTTAGTTAGCCGATAATGAGCAATCAATCAATGTATTGGCGGTTAATCCTTTGAAGAAGGACGTTGTTTTTACGAAGAGACTTTACGACAGGGTGTATTCAGTATAGATTAGTTAATCTACATACATAAACACTACCTTTTGACAAATCCGCAATGCAGGATAAAAGCAATTAATGAATCAGCGTGTTGTCGGTTAATCCTTTGATCAATGTTTGTTTGTAACTCAGCTGATAATTCCTCTTACTGCACTTCCATGTGTATATTACTTAAGATGTAATATATTTGCCACATCAGACCTCAATTTATAGCAGATGAGTTCCATTACCTTTTCAAGTGCGAAACCTTCACCCAAGAGAGATCTATATATACTGAGTCAAAAAAGAAACTTCACATTCTTTCTTCAGGGCATTATAAAAGAACAAGAGATGGTAAGATGGTTAAATTGTTATTATTTCATTGCTGAGATCTGTGTGATGTACTCGATACACTGACAGTGCCATAATCAGTTCCATTAGGCTACACCGCCGTTCCAAAACATTGGTATACAGAATGTCAAGTCACAAGAATAAAAATGCGAAATTTCTCAGTTCAATATCGTGTATGGCCGCCCCGCGCATTCACCACTGCCAAACAGCGTCTCCTCATCGACTGCCTGATGCTTGTGAACACGTGGTTGGGGATTCTGCGCCATTGCTCTTGCAAGGCAGCGCCAAGTTCCTGCAAATTCTGAGGTTGGTTCCTAAGACAACGAAGCCTTCTCCTAAATGCATCCCAAACGTGCTCTATTGGATTAAGGTCAGGGGACCTCGATGGCCAGTCCATGACGTAGATTGCAGCGTTTTGAAGGAAATTTCGTGTCAACATCGCGGTATGCGGCCGAGCATTATCATGCTGGAACTGTAGACCTGGGCCATGAGCCGCCATGAAAGGAACGAGTTCAGGGGTGAGCACCTGATCGCGGTAAGCAGCAGCTGTGAGGTTTCCACGGAAGACCAGAAGTCGGGAACGGTTGTTCCCACAGGAAGCACCCCACACCATGCAACTTCCGCCCCCGAATCTGTCGACTTCCTGTACACAACATTGGGCATACCGTTCACGACGTCATCTCCAGACCGTCCGCGAATCTGAGGGTAAACCTGGATTCATCGCTAAAGACGACTCGATTCCAGTCTCTCTGGGTCCATCGGAGGTGACGTTGGGCCCACAGCAGACGTTGACGTTGATGAAACGGCGTCAATATTGGCCCACGATATGGACGTCGAGAATGGAGATTGGCAGCCCGCAACCGATTTCAAATGGTCTGTGAGGACAGTCGACCTCTAAACATCTCAGCCCTGGTTCGTGTAGCTGGCAGAAATCTGTCACGTAGGTGACGTAGGACAATTTGACGGTCTTCTGCTCGTGACGTCACACGTGGACGACCCGACCTTGGGCGATCAGAAGTGGTGCCAGTTTGTTGTAGACGACCTCGCAAGTCACACACAGTACGACGGCTGCAACCCATTGCTCTTGCGACGTCAATAACTGATCTTCCCGCTTGCAACATGCCAACGCCACGTTCACGTTGCACATTTGACAATCGTGGCATTTCAAGTACCGTTAGAACTGTGGTTTAAAAGTATTTTTTTCAATTCTTGAGGCCAATGCAAACACGTGCATATGAAGAAAACTTCGATGCGAAGATCACGTGATCGACTGCACGTGCAAAACCTGATTTGGCACTAACGTCATTTGCACGACGAATGGATGGGTTTGAGTGGGTTTTGCTAACGTTTTTCTAGAGTCGAAAGATAGAGATCCCATTTCGGATACATAGATGTATCATCAGAGAAAAATTATTCATTATTTTTCAAATTACATTTTGTGAAGTTTCTTTTTTGACTCAGTATATATTCCCAAAAGATTCTGCCAATTCCCAAACTTATCTAAAATGGCAATCTTTCTTCTATCAAAAGAAACAAGCATCCTACGTAACCTCTCCAGATACCTTAAATTATCATCAAAACTTAGGAGATAATCCCTACATTCCGTAAAAAACTTCCATCCGTTACTTGTTTCCACGCCTGGTTTATTCGTATGACATTTGTGTGTATATATGATCTGTTTGACTTATCCATGTAGATGTATTCATGTTCGATCTGATGTATTACAAGTAACTTATAATTTATATTCATGTATATTCTGTCATCTTGATGTTTACTGTATATATAAGCCATTATGTCTAATGTACCACCGTGGGTGGTTTCGAGAAATAAATAAAATGAAATGATATAATGATGAGTATTTACTCCAGACACTAGAAATGCCAAATGGGAACGTTTGTTGGATAATCTGAGTGGTGCTATCACTAATTATACCTATTATAAATTCATTAACTGACCATCAAGTGAATGATGACAAATAACATGTGTAGGTTTACCACCAAACAAGGGTTACAACAAGAGAGTAGTAATCGCTGTATTGCATGCAAGTTTGATTGCTTAAAAAAACCTATAGGCCGACACTGTTCTTATTGTTACATAAGAAATATATATAAGCATTTGCTGTGTACTTAGTTAAAAACTCTATATACCTATGTACCTTAGTAACATTTCAGATTTATTTTGCAATTGCAAAGTGGGGTTGTTTAGTTTATGGATTCAAATATATCAAATGTGTGTTTTTGATATCATAGCATACGTAATGGACATCATATTTTTACACGATTAAATATCGAGGTAAATAGGATCAAATTGGATCAGTCACTATGCCATTTATGCATTAGAAAATCCGAAAAGCCTACACTGCAGGGATACTTTATTACAATCAGACAAGAACTGCCGGGGATAGTTTCAAATAACGGCATCTGATGGGCATCCACCCTTCCTAATGTCCCACTGATTAGGTTGAAGAAATTCTGCCAAGGTGGACAGTAGCCCAGTCCCCGTGTCCGTCACGGTCGAGGGAGCAAGGGCTGACCAGTTTGCAGCTAGGTTTCGTAATTAGACTGTTGGCTGGAAACATTAATCGCTCTGGATCAGTGGCCCTTTAAGGCCTGCCCCGACCACTACAACGATGATACTGTGGCACTAAAGACCGATGAATTGCGACACCAACACCACGTGGTGCGTTCATCAACAAAATACACATAAGAAATTGTGAGTCGATCATTCATATTCACAACTACTCTAAGGTGGTGGTGTTTAGTCCTGTGCATAGAGCTCAGGTCACAAATCAGTTGAAGTTAAGCAACGTTGGGAGCGGGGAGTCCTTGGATTGGCGGATGGTTTGGAGCTTAACTCCTGAGAGTTTCTAGGACTTCCGTCCTGCCCCACAACAAAGCACAGGTAACACATGTGGTCTCACCTCAGGCAAGTGGGTTTGTTCAAAATCGCCTTTGTTCACCCAGCAGAAAATGGGTACCCAGTGGGATAAGTCATGTAACTATTAACCCTCTAGCTTCTCACAGAAGCTTGGGTTATTCAGAGTAATAATAATCAGATTGTGTGTTAGTGCTTTGAGCATGCTTGATGACCAGTTCTGTCATTACAGCATGGGCACTTTCTCCAGGTTTGGGTCACCCGAGGCGAGGTCAGTCATTGGTAAAGCTGCATTAGTAACTGATGATGCAGGTACGACAGCACCAGTACCCGGTTTTCTTTCGTAGAGATCTCACTGAGCATTAAATTCCTCTTATTGTTCCCGAAACACTTAGTACAAATGTTGGGTGAGCTTCGCTGACACCAGCTCGATGGAATTCCAGGAGATCATGGACAAGACAAGTCCTCCATCAGATAGCCTTCCCACAGGACAAGGTTAAGGATGGTGATGACAGCCATGAGGAAGACCCAGTACCACAAGAACGTGAACAACTTCTCATAGATTTCGATGATTGGCAGAGTACACTTAACTGTGTATCTGTGAGATGTCTTCATCCAGTTAATTTCAAATTTGCAATAACAATCTTTTACAAGCAACGGGTTTATGATGGAGTCCATATCAAAACCAACATAGGTTCCATACCTGATTGCCCGGTATTGTCTGAAGTATGTTGTGAGAAAAATCAACGTTGCTATTAGATTGACACAGAAGAGAAGCTTCACAAACAGGTACAGAAGAGCCAGAACGATTCGATGTCTTTTAAGCAGACTCCCAAATACTCGGGCTGCATTACTGAACATGACCTGGCGATTGTCAACATTGTTCAGTTGTACACTTTTCAGGGACTCCACAGTTTCCTCCATATTGAAAGTAAACAAGTGCTTGCTGCTGTTCCAGATGATGTTGGGTAGTTTGAAAGCCAGGGCTTGGAAGAAGAGTATGAGTGGTATCCAGAGGTGGTAGGAGGGGATAGTGGCTGGTTCTTCGTCGTCATAATTATTAGATATTGACTTCTGAGCATACAAGCCCTTCACAAAACACGTTTCCTGCGTGTACGAGTACTGAGACTGTGTGAATTGAGCAGGGCACCAACAACTGATGGGTGTAGTGATGTAACGCACGGCGAATGATCCCACAGAACACACGGCCAATAGAATGACTGTCCAGAAACTGTTGATGGAGTCGACATAATCCTGATCTAATCCACGTTCAATCCTGCTCTTAATCCTGCCATTGTTATCTAAAACCTTAACAAAACATTTGCTCCCATACATTTAACATATGTGCTTAGAAAAAGAAAATATATGTGTCGTATTTAAGTAGGTGAGCGAGATACATTTTACATCCCATCGGGATATCGTGATGAGAAGAAGTTAGGTATTATCAAATACCTGTCGAAAAAGGAAAGTCAAACAGTAATGTAGTTATTCCAGTTTAGGTAAAAAACTAACCACATCAATATTAAAACAAATACCGTTTCATTCGATTATTTGGGATACCCTAAAACTAGGGTATGACCCCAAACAACCAAAGTTAGACTATCTTACTGGGGATCAAGGGGCGGTGGGGTAGCCTAGTGGTTAAAGCGTTCGCTCGTCACGCCGAAGACCCGGGTTCGATTCCCCACATGGGCACAATGTGTGAAGCCCATTTCTGGTGTCCCCCGCCGTGATATTGCTGGAATATTGCTAAAAGCGGCGTAAAACTACACTCACTCACTCACTGGGGATCAAGGGGACTTAATCAGCTTCTGTTTCCTGAATGATGTCACTGCAGGTCACCAGTGGTTGAGTGTGATATAACCACTATGGAAAATCAAAATACTATGTGGGAATTAAAACATCAATTAATGATATACTTTGATTTTCCAGCCATATGGCGGCGGTCTGTAAATATTCGAGTGATTCACACACAAGCTTATGATTCAGTCGGAATTAGCGATGGGCTCCGCACTTAGCAGAGATGATGATGTACATAGAACTGTGTCTCTTTTATGCCATACAGCCACCGATGTTGTGTATTGTATACGGTTAAAATTATAAAATGTTTTGCAGTCACTATACACATCTGATTTTCTCATATAGTCATTTGGCTGTCCTTTGTATGCTTACTGACCCGTGAATATTGATCTTCAGTAAGCTTGTCGTAAGAGGCGACTAACGGGATCGGGTGGTCAGGCTCACTCACTAGGTTGACACGTGTCATCGTGTCCCAATTGCGTAGATCGATGCTCATGCTATTGATCACTGGATTGTCTGGTCCAGGCTCGATTATTTACAGACCGCCGTCATATAGCTGGAATGTTGCTGAGTGTGGCGTAAAACTAAACTCACTCACTCACTCACGTTAGTGCTATGATTACTATTATATTGTTCAGCGATATTATAAAAAATACTATTTGATTTAGTAGTTTTGATGAATTATTATTATTGTTATTATTATGTTTTTGCAACAGGATATTGTGTAGATAGTTTTCAGGAATAGAATTTTATATTTGTCACTTCAAGTTGTTTTTATCTGTATTAGTTTTAGCACGGCTGTATGTGCTGGAGTTAAAACTCCAAGAAAATAAATTCCATTTCATCAAAGGGTAGACAGGTTATTCCATGTCTGTCTCAAACTATGTGACATCTCAATTCTCTTATTTGATTAACATTATATAACTACATGTATAGCTTTCTTCCGTAGTATTCATTTACACCGTTTATAATTGAACAAGACATTGACATATAGCTAAGGTTAGTTATTTGTGTTATTTTTACCTAAACATAATTCTAACTTATCTAATAAAGATAATATAAATAATATAAAGCTTTGTGAATGTTTATCATGCATATCAAACAGCCAATATGCCCCTTGTTATGTCACTATATTTTATATTTATATTTTAAATGGACGTATGTGTGAGAGCACTATTTGATTGGTAGTTGTGGATATAAGAATGGATAAGACGTTTGTTTTTAATAATGTAATTGTTGCCACCGCATCGCCATTTACAGTCCCACCCATATACCCACCCCTATACTTACGACGCCCTATGTCATACGGAATGATGACTTAATAGGAAATATGGTGTATTCATTACATTAAGTGAATATAGCCTGGATGCTTATAAATATTGGAATGTTGTTTACAAAACTGAGATAACTGCATGTTTAATGATAACATGTGTAGAACTATTTGTAAAGCACTGTATGACTCCATGGATATATTGATGAAAAATGAGCCTGTGATGATCACCCACAATGATTCATGTCAAACAGATTTAGAAATGTTTGTTTCTGGAGAACACAAATGATTTATTGGGACACTTGCGTCCGTATAAACATACACTAATCGATACATATTGATGTTGGGAAAGTTACCCGATTATTTACAGACTGCCGCCATATAGCTGGAATATTGCTGGGTGCGCCGTTAGGCAACAAACAAACAAAACAAAACAAAACTCTATACCCATGATTTTATCAACAACACATACAACTGATTTGTTGATGTATTGAAACTCGTTGCTAGGTAACTGAACAAACATTTCAGAAGTCCTTTACTTCAAAGCTCAAACAATTCATTATTTCAGAATGTTGATACATTTGCGTCACTACCTTGCTAATAAAAAAACGTCATTACCTTGAAAATACAACATAGATAAATTCGATAATCCTTGATTTCGATTGAAACATTTCTAGCATACTCGGCAAGTATAAAGAATGAATAACATCGCTGGTGAGCCTTGCCACGATTAAACTGAAGTATTACTGAGCGGAGCGTAAAATACTACACACAGCGAACACTCATTGAATACTGATGTAATATTACCAAAATGAACTTAACTTGTACCTCAAAATAACTCCAACCCGTGTCCAGGATGCCCGTTCAACATAGCGTACCTAGCCCAAGGACAATTTTTACCACTTTAACTTTGTTTATTGTTGAATGCTCAGCACAAATCCAGCTAAATGACGGTGGTGTGTAAAATAATCTAATTTGGATCAGACAACACAGTGACTGACATCATGCGCATCGTTCTGCACCTTGGGAATGCGATGACTTGCATTAACGAGGTCATAGGAACTGACCACCACATCCCTTTCGACGCCTCTCACGACAAGCACGGATTGCTGACCCGAGTCTTCACAAGGCGATAATTACTTGAGATGGTCCTAACACTATTGGCGCTTGATCGTGTGAGTGAGTGAGTTGCGCTTTACGCCGCACTCAGCAACATTCCATCTATATGGCGGCGGTCTGTAAATAATCGAGTCTGGACCAGACAATCCAGTGATCAACAGCATGAGCATCGATCTGCGCAATTGGGAACTGATGACATGTGTCAACCAAGTCAGCGAGCCTGACCACTCGATCCCGTTAGTCGCCTCTTACGACAAGCATGGGTTACTGAAGATCATATTGTAACCCGGACCTTCACGGGTGGCGCTTGATCGAACCGAGCCCTACATACATATGAGTTCAAAGGATAGAGACGCCCGTGGAGCTGTGGCAATTTACACTTGTCAGAGAGGTACACAAAGGACACGATTTAGATTACACATTTGTCAAACATCCATATTGTGGAAGCCGCGGTGGACGAATGGGTTAGAGCGCTGCGAAGCAAAGATGGGGTCAGTCAAAATAACTACAATGTACTAGATTCTGTACTTCACACAGAAAGTGTCATTCCAAATTTGACATATGTTACAAGGCCGGAGATTTCTTGTTGAAACAAATCCCGCGAGGGTGTTAATATGGACACGGGGAATATGCGACGCTTCATTAACAAATTCTTATTTTCCTTTATACAATGCTAACATCAGGGCACAGTCAGTCAAGAAAACCCCTAAAACTGTTTAAATTCCTTCTATGGAAACTTAGAAGTAAATATTAGAAAGCGAAGTTTATGATTTTGTGGTGACAAGCCCTAAAACTTAAGCTTTTGTGTTAGTTTGTTTAAAAAAAATTACACGTGTGTTGACATTGTTTACTACAAAAAAAAATGTTTACTTCAATACAGACGTTAAGAAGAGATTACATATTTGATCTTAAACGATCACATCAGTCTACCTTTAGATCCATTATTGAAGGTACTTTATACGATAGCATTGCATAATCTCCAGGTGGTTTGTAAGTCTTGGGAAATGTAGAAAATTGAATTTATAAAATAAATACATGGGCAATCTTAAGATGTGTTGCCGTCTTAGGGTTCCAGCATCAAAACACAAGATGGTGAACTTCGGTTAGGTGAACAGAAATAGACCTATGCATAACTGCTTGTACAAGGCGGTACAAATGTACAAACAAAAAAGCCAGCATTTATTATAAGATGGAGAAGGTCAAGTTGACCTGGGGATTTTATGTGTGAGCAAGCGTAAGAGTTTTTATATTATCACACTAGGGCATACATGTCCACATCGGTGGGAATTTGCTGTAAGAAAAGTGTTCATTCAACGTCAGAATAGAAATTCACTGGGTGCTGGCGATGGGAAAACAGAAAAACAGTACTGGCAGCCTTTGCTGGAGTACTCTCCGGAAACCTGATGCATTATGGGATTGTTAATGGGACATAATTCCTTGTGGGAGATGACAATCCATATTGAACGAGCAAGATAGCGTGGGCGGTCTGGTGAACTTGGATGAAATCTTCAATGCACAACAAAAAGGAAATTGGATGAAATGAACTTGTACACATTAGAATGTAGTGATGTTTCAATCAAGCTGGCGGCAAGATATGCTGCAGTTTGTTGATTACCATTGGACCCGGATCTATGGTGTGTTTGGCAGGGTACTGCTTTGTGGGCTAAGCAGCAAATCATACCTTCGTATTTCACATAGTGGATGCCCCATAGAGGCCCGACATGCTCATGCTTTTCATGGACACCTGGTGTTGGAAGAGACTCGATAAAAGTTGTTATCTGGCGTTTATGTTTCATATTTACACTCATCACAATAGGTTCGTGAAACACCACGGTAGACCGTGATAAAGATGTGATACTACTGCAGCCAGAACCAGAGTTTCTGATTGTGTTTTAAGGTTCAGAAGCACCATGTTGATTGATCTATTGATTGACTGATTGATCAATGGGGTTCTGGGCAGGGTTTCTGTGTGTCAGCACAAAGTGGTAGGATAAAACCTTCAAACATAATCTACGCGAATCCTGTCATCAAACGTGTCTGGCGTTCTGAAGGGACGAAGCTCTGTACAACAAAATGAATCACCGTAAACGACAAGGGCAACCGTTCCCCAGAAGCATACCCCTGTTCTAAAAGCTGTAAACGAGCTGCATTACTTCGGCCTCTCCTATTACAATCAAGGTTTAATAACCTCACTCGCTCATTCATCTTTCTTTTATGACAAATAGGTATTCAGGATATGCCTGCGTGTCCCTGAATACAACGTGCATTGTTGGACTTTTGACGTTGTCAACCACAGTGTCGTAACGGATGGAGTTGCCCTTGTCCATGAAAGGTGCGTCCAACATCTTCTCATCCCCCTTCGTGAAGTTCCCCGTGAGAACCTGGCACAGGTAGATATACTTGAAGCCCTGGTCATCTTTGGGAGACAGTTCCTTCTTAGCTGAGTAGCTAGCTTCTGTCGCAAAATATACACCTTTCCCAAACTTTGTTCCTGTGGTGAGAAAAATATGATTATTTGAAAATGTGGAAATTAAAGAAATATGATTTGTAAAATAGAATAGATGCCCCAAAAGATTATATAAGGCACAGTCGCATAATGAATAGGTTTTCTTTATTCTAGTTGTCTGAATGATTCTCATAATATGAATTACGATGTGAATCAAACTATGTATATGATATGCATATATGAGTAAAACACCTGTAGTACTTGAACATTGATATATACAATAATATTGATTGTTGCATGATATAAATCGCACAACTTTACAGTTGGAACAATCATCGTAACGTCAGTTCCAGGTGACGTTAAGAACATTTTAAAAGCATAACCGGTGTAAACCTTCTCAGGATTAAAAACAAACAGGTATTTTTCTGTAGCCTAACAATGATCACAAACTTTGCTTGGTAGAATTTGAATTTCACAATTGAATTTTGAGCATTATATTGAAATTTGCTTACAACGCGTACAATAGTTCCATTATTAGGATACCATAACACAAAATTCCAAGAAAACGCTATAATTTAACCATCATACGTAAGAATCATTAAATTAATTTTTTTGTTTACAGACCTTGACATATAAAATAATTAGGCTTATCAGGCTTGTATGTTAACTGAGGAAGAAAGAGACTTTTGTCGTTCCTTTTCATTGGGGAATGGATAGAGACAGGTATTTCTCAGCTGAGTAGCTAGTTTCATAATAACTTGACAATGGAATCCAAATTGTGCTCCTAAGGTTTTAAATGATGATTTGTTTAGAAATCGTATAGGATTATATGCCTAATCGAACAGAACTACACAGAAAATCTTAAAATTTACAGAAATATACTCCTGGAAACGAATAAAGGAAAACATGAAAGTACAAGTGTTCCTTAATTCATTTTCCAATTTGTTTAGACATCGTATAGGATTATATGCCAAATCGAGTTCACATAAATGTTCAAATTTACAGAAATATACTCATGGAACATAATAATGGAAAACATGAAAGTACATTTGTTCCTTTATTTATTTCCAGATTTTCACCCACATTGCAATCACTATAAAGCATGACAAGAACCCGGAAAGGAGTATAGGAACACTTTCACGTTCGTGTGTTCTTTTATTCGTTTCCATGAGTTTTTGTGTCTTTTTGCTCTATTTGACAACAAGGTCACTCTGTCAATATCAATAGATATATAGAAATGAAAGCCATACACGAACAGAATCTAAGTTGTGTCTGAAGGTTGTTTGTATTTTACCATTTTTTCCATGGAAGGATCTGTTGAAACCATTCCTGTTGATACTCGAGAGAGCATCACGTCTTGTGCCGTGCCAGAGGCGTTTCTCAAATGTGTGTGGGATGCGGGCCTGCACACACTGCCTCTGTATCTGGTACTGTTGGTATGACAACATGTTCTGTATACGCCGGATCTGCAAGAAAAAACAGGAAATAGGTTTCAACCGCTTCGATATGATCGACATTGCCTTGATGACATTGACCGCCTCCGTGGTGTAGTGGTTAGAGCGTCCACCGGGAGAACGGAAAGTCGCGGGTTCGATCCCCGACCGCGTCATACCAAAAGACGTTAAAATATGGTACTTGTTGGTCCCTGCCTGGCGCTCGGCATTGATGGGTACATCAAGGACTGGTCGGCTCGCTAGCACTATAAAATCAGCTTCAGTCTGGGCTAGTACAAGCAGCCGCACCTACACATACACACGCATGCACGTCGTCATATGAGCGAAATATTCTCAAGCACGACGTTAAACCCAATTTCACCTCACCTCACCTCACCTTGATGATATTACGACTAGAACCATACGAAAAGGAGGAGGGTGTATGTGTGTGCTGAGGCAAAATATTATAGCCCAACAGGTTATTGGGTATTGTGGGCGGTGGGGGTAGCCTAGTAATTAAAGCATTCGCTCTTCACGCCAAATACCTGGGTTCGATTCTCCACATGGGTACAATGTGTGAAGCCTATTTCTGGTGTCCGCCGCCGTGATATCAAACTGTTTGAGAGGCATTCTAGAAGTTGTAAGTAACAGAAATGACAAGTCTTTATGGATGATCAACTTCTTTCTTGTTAATGGACCAGCGTCCTTTGGTTACTCATTCTTTGTTGTAGTCAATAATGTATAGATGAAGAAATTACATACCATTACGATGTCGTACACATTCCCAGCGCTGCTCGTAAACAGTTGTGTTAGCTTATCATATTCCGGCCCAGATGTAACACACGGGGCGATCAAATCCTTGCCACACATGTCTTCCCAAGACGGAGGTAGAGCCATCGCTGTAGGGAGAAGGGTGTTGTATTAGATGTTATAGACTGGGAGGGACATTCTAACAATATATGATTAGTGAGTGAATGAGTTTAAGCTTGGGCCTCCTTGAACGTTGAGTCGTTTTTTATGGCCTGTCAGGGTGTATGGCTATGAAATACACAATTTGGAAGCCGCGGTGGCTGAGCGGTCTAGGCGTCTGACTTTGTGTGCTGGGGATTAGGTGCCTGACTCTGAGGGTGCGGGTTCGAATCCCGGATGGGACTCAACCCCAAAAAGTACTAGAATCTGTACTTTACTAAGAAAGCGTAATCCCAAATATAACATATGTTACAAGGTGTATGGCTTTTTGTGTCAGGGGCGGTTGTGTAGCCTTGTGGTCAAAGCGTCCGCTCGTCACGCCGAAACCCAGGGTTCTATTCTCGACATAGGTACAATGTGTGAGGTACATTGCTGGTGTTAAACCATAGTCACTCACTTTCGTGTCGGCTTCTTCACGACGGCCCGTTTGACGCATATTCTGAGATGAATTCGCAAGGTGTCTTCACAAGACATCCAATTACACCAAAACCGTTATACTGAGATACCATACCTTCACATATGCGTGGAAAATACAGGTCTTGAGAGGGGAGTCAATTTGACATTTTCCAATCGACGTGTCTATAGGGGCGGTGGGGTAGTCTAGTATTTCAAGCGTTTGCTCGAGACTTCAAAGACCCAGGTTCGATTTCCCACATGGGTACTACCTTTGAAGCCCATTTCTTGTGTCCTCTGCCGTGATATTGCTGGAATATAGCTAAACTAAAGTCACTCACTCACTGTATCAATATATCTGAATTAGGGGTAGCAATCGATAGAGATCACAGTGATCGATAATCGTTAACTAAATAGCGATCGATTAACATCGCAGACGTGACTTTAAGAAAAATTGCCAAAATTGAAAGCAAAGAATATATTTCACATCACTAGTGAATGGCGACATGCTTTTACATGGAATATTATCAAGACAGATTCATAAACATAATTGAGAAGCAGCTCATGAAAAAAGTTGTAAAGTTGTAGATTGTGTGAGAAAATTAAACTTTTTTCTTTCACAAAAGTTAATGTACGATATTACCAATAGCACAATTTCCATATCGATAATCATTAATAAACTCTCTTATTGACAATTTTTCCAACTATCTATCAATTTAGCCAGCCCTAACCTGAAGAAGTTATAACATAGTTGTACTGGACATGTTTTGACCCCACCACATACCTGGTATTTGCTTCCTGGATAACTTAATCTTATACTTGGGTTTAATCTGGGGAATCAATTCCATGGTTGTGAAGTCTATGTTGACATTTCCCAAGAGTGTCTTCACTACTGCTGTCGGCTGACGATGCCTTTTAAAATATGCTTCCTCAATCAAAACGTTGGTCATAGTAGACATCTTCATCGCTCCCTCAGGAGCTGCCGCCCACCATTGCACGAACTGCCTTAGGAATTCCGCCCTCTCTTTCTGTATTTGAAGAAATGCAACATCCTTTAACAGTTCTTCTGTCTTGAACTTCGCTTTTTCTACGTCAGTCTTTAGTCCAGAATGACGAACGAGACGGTTTTCAACATCTACTTCTGCCTCCACATCCAGATCCGCACACGTCTGTTTGATGTCTTCAAGCTGAGGGAAATATAGAGATTATAATCGTGTAGCATGTGCTAAATGAGCGTTGAATAATGTGAGGATGAACCTGTGTGATAATTCGTTGTGCCTAACAGGCTGCATGAGTTGGATACTCCTCGGGGAGTTGAGTTTGTTAAACGAATGCCAGAAAAAGACATCCGCGTTGATCAAGGGAACACTCCAGCGCCTTGAGCATGTACTAGTTGCGTGGATATATGCGCTATATAAATATCCTATAATAAAGAACAAAATGAAAATCTATCGTTTGTATATTTAATGTTCGCATTTCTTTCTACAAAGTATAATACTGAAATGTCCTCAGGCACTGTGACGTTATCATGAGACTGTTTGTGTGACATGACTGTATGTTGCGCTGTTAGTATGTGACGCTGTTAGTGTGTGACGCTGTTAGTATGTGACGTGTTTGTGATTGTGTGAGTTGGGTTTTAGAACGCTTTTAGCAATATTCCAATGCTATCCCAGCGAGTGTCGAGACACCAGCTATGGGCTTCAGAGATTGTACCCATGTGGGGAATCGAACTCGGGTCTTGGAAAGATTTCTTGGAAGTTAATCCAATAATTTTGCAGTAAACAATATTCTTATATATTCATGATAGCATGTATTCATATTAGCCCTGTCAGTTCTATCCTTTACGACCCCCATTATAATCTCCACGTGTATTGCGTCGTCAGAGCATTGTGACGTCTTAAGCATTGTTCTATCTTATGATGGGGGCCAGAACAAGCCCTGAAACGTTGTACCAAACAATAAAAAGATGATAAAACCCAGAAAATTCTTAATGTTCATCATATAGCATCTTCTAAAATGCCAATCAAACATCTAGAGTTTGTATATGTTAATATTCATTTTATCCTTTGCATTATAGTCATCGTAATTGGTATGTATGAGAGAGTGATACTTATGTATGCATGTATATGTCTGTTTATACGTGTGTATATATGCATGTATGCATGTTTATAGTTTATAGGTATGGTTGTTTGTGTGCATGTGCATGAATGTATGTATGTTTGTGGGTATGTGTGTACGTACGTATGTACTTATGTATGGATGTACTTGTGTGTGATTCTACAGGCATGTATGTGCATAGGTATGTATGTATCAAGGTATGCTTGTGTGTGTATATATATATATATATATATATATATATATATATATGTATGTAGATGCACGTGTGTTCGGTGTGATATATATATATATATATATATATATTATGTATGTGTTTATGCCTTTGAGTTTGTAGATGCACGTGTGTTCGGTGTGAATTGGGTATATACTTGTGTGTTTGCATGTTGATATGGATATGTATTCTGAGGTTGTACGAATATATTGTATGTGTATGTATGCAAGTACTCATGTGTATTTGCTAGTTCAACATTTTCAGAGTTAATGATGTGCTGGTGTCCGACAGAATGTACGTGTTTGATTACAGCCCAATGAATGACGACTGACCCTTTAGCTGCTATTTGTATATCTACATGTCTGACTTTCTGTCTACATATTATTAAGATATGCATTTGAATATAAATGTCCTGCTTTTTTAACATCTCGAAAGGGACAGTAAATGATATGTTCAAAAGAGATATTGTCATCTTCAATTCGTGTTGGTCACGATATGGCTGAAATACTGCCTATGTGACTTTAAATTTTAACACACTCACTCTTCAATGCATGACAGTTCAAGTGCATCTATTGTATGTGTAGACCTACTTGTTTATCTGTAAGACCAGAGATGACTTCATTGTCGAGGACGTCAACGCACAGGTTCTCTTCGAGCTGCTCGTCAATGAACTGCCGACACTGATTTATGTTCTTCCTATCGCCGGACACGATTCTCAGGTGTAGCTCGTCTTGTATTGTTCGCTCCCGCTCATTGTCTGGAAAATACAATGACTATACAAGCCTCATGTGATTTGGTAGTGGATCATAAACACACGTTCATGATACAGATTCCTGTGGCTATGGAAACGGTTTGACACTTTTATTTACGTTTATTAGCAAACGCTTCACACCATTTAATGCTGGAGCAAAGTAGTTACATTAATAAACGTAACTCTCGTGGAGTTGTCTAACGGAACGTTAGTAATTGTTTGAGTGTTTGTAGAATGCAGTGTAGAACGCCTGCCAATGATTTGTGTGGGTAGTTTGTTGTTTAATCGTGTCTGGACCGGACAATTCAGTGATTGACCAAATGAACATCGATCCGATCATGTGAAATGCGATGATACGCCATTTACCAATCACAAAATTGTAACCTATTATAAAAAAACCCCATATTTTAGCTCTTCGTGATAGAATGTAACTTAAATGTAAGACATTCTTGGGGGGAAGAGAGACACAAGGAAACACTGGAGATGTCCGTCAATTTCACTGAACATGTTTTGATGTTAGTATATGAATCGTTTTGTTTTTGAAGTAGAATTTGCCTACATGTTGCACATAATTGGATTTGATGATACCGTCAGGACCAACCGAAGACTGAAAGTTGCACCAGCCCGTCTGTACGCGTCTGGACACACACTTGTCCACATAGCAAATGCTCTCCGAAGTCTTGAATCCAATATGGCTACCACACTACGAAACCAATGACCAACAACGAAATGATCAATGTCAAACGTCCAAAAGCTCCAGACAAGTGTAACATTTGCCAGTTATCAGTTGCGGAAAACCAGAATAAAGACTTAATATTTTTTATCCCTTTGTTTATCCGACGTTGACCATAGCCACTGGTTATTGCAGCTCAGTACCACCTCCACCTGTTTACTCGCTCATTTACAAACTGTTACCCTTTCTATCGCAAGATGTTTTTTTATCACCCATCAACTTCCTCCCTCACCCACAGACATCAACAATAGGGTTCCTACCCCAAGTCTGGCTGGCCGGTCTGCCCAGACTGTACCCGGTCACGCACGATGTTCCGAAGTAGTACTGGAACATCCGAGTTGTCTCCTCCACGGCAACCGTGTTGGTGTGTACAAGTATCAAACGTCGGACATGCTTCAGTCTGTCCTCGCTGTTCACGATGTTCAAGATGCACCGGATGAAAGCAAAATTGAATAGGTCTTCTGCAGTGTTGCCTAAGAAAATAATAGAGAATGCCAACATTTGTACTTGAAGAAACATTCATGTGTCAAGTCACATCAGTTAAGTAACTCAATTCGGAGCTAAATATTTAGCAAAAACAATCCACCTAAATCAGCTGCTTTCATATCTATTTTAGATAACATGAATCAGTTTCAAATATCAGCTATTGCTATAAATGACAAGTTGCTTTCCTTTTTTAAGAACGGTTGTGTTTACTGTTTAAACTTTATTAGATACAAGTGCCTCTAATACACAATGCGTTTAAACAACCATGACGTTAAACCAGGGATACTCTACAACATATAGTCTCCCTGTTTAAACTGATTAAACACAAATTTTGTATTAATGTCCCATAAAAACGGACGCCATTCAATAAATTACCTGCAATATGTGGTAAGGCCACAGACACAACCTTCTTTCTGTCCGCTTCACGGAGGCACTTGGTAATCATCAGCTCTACGTCGTACCCACAAAACTCTCTTGAGGCAGCGATAATACTTGGCCCATCCTGTCTGGAAACAAACCCGATTCCTGAACGTCTGATGTTTGGGTCTGAAAATTGTAAAGGTCAAGTAACCCCTCCGAGTTAGAATTAGTCTTCAGCAACCAATGCATGTCGTAAGAGGCGACTAAAGGGATCGGGTGGTCAGGCTCGCTGACCTCGTTGACACATGTAATCGTATCCGAATTGCGGAGAACGATGCTCATGATGTCAATCATTGGGTTGTCTGGTCCAGACACGATTATTTACAGACCGCCGTCATATAGCTGTAATATTTGCTGAGTGCGGCATTAAACAACAAACAAGCCCCCAACCCCTGTAAAGTCAACAACTTCCACTGGACTCACTGGACTATGACAAAGAATTTTGTCTCTGCATTCCGTGCCAAGGTAAACCTCATTGTGAGTCGTTCACCTAATCAGGGGCAGTGGGGTAGCTTAGTGGTTAAAGCGTTCGCTCGTCACGCCGAAGACCTGGGCTCGATTCCCCACATGGGTACAGCGTATGAAGCCCATTTCTGGTGTCCCCCGCCGTGATATTGATGGAATATTGCTAAAGGCGGCGTAAAACCACATTCACTCACTAACTTCCCATATCAAGTTCTTTGATCAGAACCATGAGACTGGTTCACTTGTTTGACTGTACGTCATAATTAGCCACTGTCACAGCAACTGAATAATGGTGCTTGAACTACGAAAACGACCATATTAACATAATCTAAATCATAGACAAAATATTCTGAATTTACCTATGAAATGTATGAAAAAATAAATTGGGGGATCATTATTTTTCTTATATGTTTTTTGAAGCGAGGACTTAGCTCTCATATCCTCCCAAGTATTCATGGTCAATTACTTTTTGTATTCAGTATGTATAGTGTTTATGTTATTATCTAACTGTGATAATATCACTCACCAGGTACAGCCATGTCGTTCAGTTCAGTCGGAATTACAACAGCATCTACCTCTTCCTCCAGGATGTGTCCTTCCTTCACCTCCAGCTGTAAATCTCCGACGTGGAATTCTGAAGAGAATAACACATAAAGTGACACGTCTGACATATATAGGAATAACACATACAATAGCACACATAACACATAGCAACAACACATATACTGGCACGTATAACAAAACATACATAACACATATAATACCACCTATAACACATGGTAAAAACGCATATTATATCACCGTAACACACAGGAGTAACACATATAATACCACCTATAACACATGGGAATAACACATATAATACCACTTATTAAACATGGAAATAACACATATAATACCACCATTACACTCAGGAGTAACACATATAATACCACGATAACACACAGGAATAACATACATAATACCACTTATTACACATAGAAAAAACACATATAATACCACCATAACACATAGAAATATCACATATAATACCACCTATAACGCATCGGAATATCACATATATTGCCACCATACCATATGGTAATAACAAATATAATACCTCCATAACACACAGGAATAACACAAGTAATACCAACTATAACGCATAGGAATAACACATATAAAACCACCTATAACATATAGGATTAACAGATATAATACCATCTATAATACATGGGAATAACACATGTAATGCGAGATATAACACATAAGAATAACACATATAATACCACCTATAACGCATGGGAATAACACATATAACACCACCATAACACACAGGAGTAACACATATAATACCACTTATTAAACATAGAAATAGCACATATAATACCACCATAACACTCAGGAGTAACACATATAATACCACCATAACACTCAGGAGTAACACATATAATACCACCATAACACACAGGAATAACATACATAATACCACTTATTACACATAGAAAGAACAAATATAATACCACCATAACACACAGGAGTAACACATATAATACCACCATAACACACAGGGATAACATACATAATACCACCATAACACATAGAAATAACACATATACCACCATAACACACAGGAATAACACAAGTAATGCGAGATATAACACATAAGAATAACACACATAATACCACCTATAACACATGGGAATAACACATATACCACCATAACACACAGGAGTAACACATATAACACCACCATAACACAGGAATAACATACATAATACCACCTATAACACATGGGAAAAACACATGTAATGCGAGATATAACACATAATAATAACACATATAATACCACCTATAACACATATTAATAACACATATAATACCACCTATAACACATGGGAATAACACATATAATACCACCATAACACGCAGGAATAACACCACCATAACACAGGAATAACATACATAATACCACCTATAACACATATGAATAACACATGTAATACAATATATAACACATAAGAATAACGGATATGATACCATCTATAACAGATAGGAATGACACATATAACGCCATATAACACATTATAATAACATATAATACCACCATAAAACACAGGAATAACACATATAGAATACCATCATAACACATGGGAATAACACATACAATACCCCCATAACACATGGTAATACCACATATAATACCACATAGGAATAACATATAATCGAGTGTACTGTTGTAATGCAAGTTGATTTGGGGGTTGATTGTCGTGATCAAGATCATAGGCTTTAACCTAGACACAGCTTACTATGGAATACTCTAAGGGACATTCTCGCGATCTCGCATTCTCGCGATCTCGACCTTTGGAAACAAACTAAAAATGCCAAAAGTGCGAGAATGCGAGATCGCGACTAATCCTTATTTCATTCCTGTAATACCAAGGATGGGCACAACAAGTACTATTTTGTAACGCGGCAAGAGATCGAACCACCGTCGTCCCAGTCTCCATGAATACCCCCTATTGATCATGCCGCTCAGAGTACATTCAGTCATGCTAATTTAATGGCTTATTGAATTGCCGCACGTTTTTGAACGGGTTCCTATCGCCTCATAACCCAATTCCAAACGTCCACCACAGAACAAAACTGTTTATACCTCCATGGGTTGTCATTCCTTTCAAACAAGACAACTCCAATATCCTTGAGTAAACTGTGCGAATTTATTTTGTGATATTTTCTGACCACATCGTAAATACACCAGTTTGTCAAATGGAACAGGAGGTTGGTAGGAGCCGTCCAAACGTCCATACCGACATGCAGGATTCACCAACGTCACCGAAGACGACCCGGTCAGCGCCAGACAATTTAGTCTCAGTTATCAGTTACTGCTGACAGACTGTAACCAGTCTCCACTAAGCATTAACGACATAACAATTGGAAATATTTATTGTCTTACCTCTCTGTTTCTTCACGTCGGGGAGGAAGGTTTCTCTACAACACTCAACGTTTTTGATACATATGGTGTTGAATATCTGTAAATAAAAGATCCATCATGTTAATTATACTATTTTGGTAGTTTCATCAGTGAGAAAACACTAGGCATTTGTTTAAAAAAAGAACGATTCTCTCTTAGACGTCAAAGAATGGCCTCACGTTTATAGTGTGTTCCGATCGCCCCATAAACTACTTTCATTTGCCTACCACAGAGAAAAACATATTTACCTCCATTGTTTTTCTGTCCTTTTCAAACAAGACAACTCCAATATTCTTGAGTGAACTGTGCGGATTTGTTTTGCGATATTCTGTGACAACATCTCTGAAGGCCGTCGCTACAACCTCTGCTGGGTATTTTCGGAGTCCGGTTCCAAGGGCAGGGAATGCTATGCTTCGACGTTTTCCTATATCTGCCTTATGTAGACACAGGTGTATTGTCAACCGAAGCAACTGTTATGGATAAACACATTTCATTAAAAATGAGAGAAATCTATGATAGAGGAATCGACAGTTACATAGTCGATGAGTCAGTGTGCGGGTGTAGCGTAATGGCTGCAAATTGGGGGCGTTGTGATAGCCTAGTGGTTAAGGCGACCGCTCGTCACGCCGAAGACCCGGGTTCGATTCCCCACATGGATACAAAGCGTGAAGCCCATTTCTGGTGTCCTCCGCCGTGATATTGCTGGAATATTGCTAAAATCGGCATAAAACCAAACTCACTCACTCACTCACTCACTACAAACCAATATTAAAGTTATCTGTCGGAAAATGTTAAAATGCAGATACAAGTGAAGACATACTGGATTTACTTTAAAAACGGACCAAGAACAACCGTTTTTGTTTTAAGTTTCAAATACTGCATTTGTCTGAAAGACATAAATCTCAAGTGAAATAACAGGTTATCCATGAGTGTGCAATCTGACCTAATGCCGAAACGACAGTCTTCTTCATTAGCATAATGGTTAGAAAATAGATAACAAATATTCCCATTTACCTTTGACCACACAAATTCCACTGGCCTCTCGTAAAGCAATTGAGAGGATGTTATTTCACAAGCACATAAAGTATCTTTTGGATAGATTGGTTAACCATTTTTTAAATAATTTTCATAAACAATGCCATATGTACCTTGCCAGTATACTCCGCCGATTTCCACTCTGGGAGACAGCAGTGATACAACTCCTTACAGTGGAGTTTGCCAGACCCAGTGCTTGCGACATCGCCTTCCCTTATACCGTTTGGATATAGCTTCTTACATTGCGTCCGTATGATAGCGCCACCTACGCTGACCAAGTGTTTGCTCAAGCCCCCAACTGACAGATCAAGGTGCTCGTTGGCGGTGTTCACAATAACGTCACTCTGAAAACAGGAACATATTTCAATGTTTTAGTAAATAGTAGTAATTCGTTTTTTCTTCATACAATAATTAACTCTTTGCGATTCTGGGCTGAACACGGTGGCCCAAAAGAGAGTGACTTGATGGATCGGATGACCACGCTCCGTAGTGGTTGTCACCATCCACCGACGGATGTGATCATGGTTCATAATATCAATCACTAATTTGTCTAGTACAGAAAAGAAGCCTACTATGCTTGAACGGACAAGTCAAAACAAATCATAATGAAATATTTTACGTAAGTCAAATACCCATTGGCCCCATTACGTCAAATCCATTTGATCCCATATTCAGAGGTGAGGTGAGGTGAAATTGGGTTTAACGTTGTACTAGAGAATATTTCGCTCATATGACGACGTGCATGGGTGCGTATGTGTATGTGCGGCTGCTTGTACTAGCCCAGACTGAAGCTGGTCTTATAGTGCTAGCCCACTGAGATACCATGTCGCAGTGAAGCATGAATACCCCACTCAGACACATTATTCTGACTCCGAGCCGACCAGTCCTTGTTGTACCCATTAATGCCCAGCGCCAGGCAGGGACCAACACGTACCATATTTTAACGTCTTTTGGTATGACGCGGTCGGGGATCGAACCCGCGACCTTCCGCTCTCCGGGCGGACGATCTAACCACTACACCACGGAGGCTGTCTTCCCATATTCAGATGGGGGCATGGGTAGTTTATTCGTCCTATGACATTTAGATAAGTGGCGTGCCAGAAACATTATCGTGGGTTCGAATCCCGAATCGCGCTGATTATGATTCTTTCTTAACATAAAACCACTGCTGTGTGTTTCGCAAGAGTGCTATACGCTAAAGGACTCGAAAGGTCTATTCTCCGTGAAGGAAACATGACGTCACATAATGACAACACATCAAAACACCCTTAAAGCAATCGGACATACTCAATGACCAAATACCACATATGACAGAATCAGAATCTGGAATCACACTTTGGACTGAAGGTTAGCACTGACTCGATCCTTTTGAAGTGTAATAAGTAAAGCATGCAGTTATGTCGTACCTCTGTTTTCGCCAGATCTCCGACTTTGAAGAGGATACCACCAGGGGAAGCAAAGCCGGTTGTCATTGCTGATCCTTAAAACATATGTTATACAAATACAGCTGTGACATTTATCAAAAGCTGGATGGTCAATGATCAAACTGATTTTCACTTGTTTTGCTACAATCAGCAAATCACATGGTTCTGTTATCATAATGGCTGTCATTAACGGACGTCAAACAAAGCTGCGGCTATACATACTGACACCATTGTCTAAGTAGTGTTACCTTCAACACACTTGTCTTCATTATTTTGCCTCTTACACCCTATGGAATGTGGTCGCAGATATTCTACATCGACATTCCCTTACACTGAAAATTTCTGATTTGCAAAGTTGTACAATACGTCATTATTGACTGTATGTCATCTCACCATTTTGTACCTCCGCGGGTTCGTCTTGAAGGGAGGTAACTCTTTTCCGTTTTGTATCATCTCCGAATGTCTTCTTGAATATCTGTAAGGAAATTTATTCAGCATTAGGATGGTATTGTATTAATCGACAAACATACATCTTATATAGTCTAGATGTCATCGGTTCCCAACTGCGCAGATCGATTCTCATGCTGTTGATCATTGGATTGTCTGGTCTAGATTCGAATATTTACAGACCGCCGATATAAAGCTGGAATATTGCTGAGTGCGGCGTAAAACTAAACTCACTCACTCACTAACTTATATAGTATAGAGAGCAGTATTTGTTCTGTGTTGATTGTACAACAGCTTTCGAGATACTACTTCCGAAGCAAAAGCCCTCAAACTTTCAATACAATACAACTTCTTCTTTAGAATATCAAACCTCAAGGACCGGTGAGGATCTATGTTAGAATTGGCCTTCAGTAACCCATACTTGTCGTAAAAGGCGACTAAAGGGATCGGGCGGTCAGGCTCGCTGAATTGTTTGACACATGTCATCGTATCCCAGTTGCGTAAATCGATGCTCATACTGTTGATCACTTGATTGTCTGGTCCAGACTCGATTTATTACAGACCGCCGCCATACAGCGTTAAAAACAATCAAAACCAAATCAAACCTCAAGCTTCTTTTCATCTTTGTGAAACAAGACAACGACAACTTCTTTCAGGGAACAGCAAGGGTTGGATGTCAAATACTCTCTAACTTCATCTTTAAAGACCCTGGCCACCACATCAGCCGGATATTTGGCGGTGCCGGTGCCAAGGGCAGGGAATGCTATGCTGCTGTGTGATGCTTCCGAAGCTTTCCGTAGACACTGGCGTATTATCTGCCGCAACACCTGAACACAAGAACACATGGCACATCACAACAAATGTCCTGACACACATAACGTAAAATGTGGGATTCACAGAGACATACGGCATATCACTACACGCGTACAGCAGGTGCGTAAATCACAGTGACACCAACCCATGAATTAGAACCCATGGTTGTCGTCAGAGGCGACTAACGGGATCGGGTGGTCAGGCCGCTGACTTAGTTGACACATGTCATCGTATCCAAGATGATCAATGCTCATGGTATTGATCACTGGACTGGTCACGAGTCGATTAGCCAAATAGCTGGAATATTGCTGGGTGCGGCGTGAACAACAAATCAACAAACACAGGGACGTTCAAGACATTAACGGTTGCAAATAATACATGAAGTCACAAAGTGATTCAAGCTGATACACAACAAATCGCCACGGGTGTACACAACACCACAGACACCCAAACCGCATCACCACAGGGTGTGCCATTCACAAGGACACACAACACATCATCCCAGCTGTACACAACACATTATGTAAGGTGTGTCATTCACAAGGACACACAACACATCATCCCAGCTGTACACAACACATTATGTAAGGTTTGTCATTCACAAGGACACACAACACATCATCCCAGCTGTACACAACACATTATGTAAGGTTTGTCATTCACAAGGACACACAACACATCATCCCAGCTGTACACAACACATTATGTAAGGTTTGTCATTCACAAGGACACACAACACATCATCCCAGCTGTACACAACACATTATGTAAGGTTTGTCATTCACAAGGACACACAACACATCATCCTAGCTGTACACAACACATTATGTAAGGTGTGTCATTCACAAGGACACTGAACACATAATCCAAGCTGTACACAACACATTATGTAAGGTGTGTCATTCACAAGGACACACAACACATCATCCAAGCTGTACACAACACATTATGTAAGGTGTGTCATTCACAAGGACACTGAACACATCATCCCAGCTGTACACAACACATTATGTAAGGTGTGTCATTCACAAGGACACACAACACATCATCCTGTAAACAGCTGTACACAACACATTATGTAAGGTTTGTCATTCACAAGGACACACAACACATCATCCCAGCTGTACACAACACATTATGTAAGGTTTGTCATTCACAAGGACACACAACATCATCATAGCTGTACACAACACATTATGTAAAGGTTTGCCATTCACAAGGACACACAACACATTCACAACACATCATCCCAGCTGTACACAACACATTATGTAAGGTGTGTCATTCACAAGGACAATGAACACATAATCCAAGCTGTACACAACACATAATGTAAGGTTTGCCATTCACAAGGACACACAACACATCATCCGGGCTGTACACAACACATTATGTAAGGTGTGTCATTCACAAGGACACACAACACATCATCCCAGCTGTACACAACACATTATGTAAGGTGTGTCATTTACAAGGACACACAACACACCATCCAAGCTGTACGCAACACATTATGTCAGGTGTGTCATTCACAGGGACCCACAACACATTATGTCAGGTGTGCCATTCACAAGGACACATAACACATCATCCCAGCTGTACACAACATATTATGTAAGGTCTGTCATTCACAAGGACACACAACACATTATCCCAGCTGTACACAACACATTATGTCAGGTGTGTCATTCACGGCTACACACGACACATCATCCCAGCTGTACACAACACATTACATCAACTATTTAACTCACCAGACAGAAAACCTAAATTACCAAATTTCCGTAACTGGCATGTTAGAAATCACTGTGAAAAATATGAAAAGGTTATGATTAAATAATTGATATCGTCACCTTGTCAGTGTCATGACCAGATTTCCACTTTGGAAGACAGCAGTGATACAGCTCCTTGCAGCGTAGATTTCCAGGGCCTGTCCTGACCACATCCCCTTCATTGATGCCGTGAGGATAAAGCATCTTGCACTGCCCTTGTATGGAAGAGCCTCCAAAGCGGATTAAGGACTTGGTTAAGGGCCCGGAAGACAGTTCAAGTTTCTCATTCGTCGAGTTAACAATCACATCAGCCTGAACAACATAAAAACAAAATTAGTAACTTTTAAAAAAATTGATAATAAAATTAATACAGACTAATGTTAATCATTTTTAAGATGATATTTGAATCAATTATACAACAGACAAACTGCAAGCACTCATGTAAAATATTTTCTGTCCAACATTTTCAGTGGGATTCACGTGATACCCCAAGATTTTGAACGTTGTTCACTTTAATTGGATGCATTTGTTGTTTAGCGCCCCATTCAGAGGTGGTGTATGAATAATTGTGTCTGGACCAGACAATCCAGTGATCAACAGCATGAGCATCGATCTCCGCAATTGGGATACGATGACATGTGTCAACCAAGTCAACGAGCCTGATCACCCGATCCCGTTAGTCTCCTCTTACGACAAGCCTGGACTTGGATTATCACGGGAAGATCATTAAAGTGGTTCAATGAGCATCGATAAAACCAACTGGTACACGATGACGTGTAATCAACCAAGTCAGCAAGACTTACCATCCGATCCCTACATTCGTCTGTACTAAAACATACCTTTGTTGTATGTAGATTCCCAACTTTTAGGAGAACGTGTGTCTCACCTGAAACAAATATTGTTGGGTCTTAAAATACGTGTATCACCTTTTCAAAAATACGAAATGTGATGTATTTGTTGGACACAACTAGATGTATGGGAGTATGAGAAGGATTGCTAATCTAAAAGCTTATAAAAAATGCTCACTTTAGTAAATTACAAATGGAGCCGAACGTATTGATTAAACCCTCTTAACCTAGTCATCGATTGACGAAAGTGAACAAGTTGTCCTAGATAAGGACTAACTTTATGGATGAACAACGTCTTTATTCAGGTGATGCGACGTTTCGATACAGATTCTTGACAACGATACAAGAATCTGTATCGAAACGTCGCATCACCTGAATAAAGAAGTTCTTCATCCATGAAGTTTGATTTTTCCATCACAAGGGATAAATATTTCAATGTTAAAACTGTGAAGGATCTTTTTAGTAAAATTTACTATCATTTAATCATTGAGTGTTTAAAAGAAATAGAATTGATTGATAATTTTGATTTATATGTTTTGTGAATAGATAAATGATATTTTATAATCGGTTGAATAAATTAGCAACTAAGATAGTTAGTGGCTGTATCCTCGAAGGGGGTTAAAGTACTGTAAAATTATTGTCCTCCTGAGAGGGTACGTAAGTCCCAAAACTTCCCAAGTCAATTTAGTTCTGCACACCTCTTTAATCGTAGAATATTTGTTGTTTTATTATGGCTAAATATCAGTACAATCGCTGAAGGGATGGTAAAAATCCAGCTAGGGTCCATGCAGGTAGCCAAAGTACTGTAAGTCCCCGTGGTCCCTAGAGTGGTGATCTACCTTCAGTTGTTGGCGATCCTCAGCCTTATTTTATATTGTATTGTCCTAATTTGAAATCCTATTTTAGAGATATACGCTAGTTTTATTTCCTATTACTGTGATATACTAGTTGGTTTTACTGTCCTTCGTCGACAGGTTTTTAAAATTTGTGCATTTGTCATGAATTTATAACTGTCTTAAGTCACGATATGGCTGAAACACTGCCGCTGTGACTATAAACTTTAACTCACTCACTCACTCACCATAAAGTTTGTCCTTATTTGACCTTAACTTCTAAAAAGGCCACTCAGAGAAGTCAAGTTTTTCTACTCACCATGCCGTTCAGGATAGTTGTCTATCATATCCACGATACACATGGAGGTTTTCTCCGCGGCTTCTATAGTTTTTTTGCCAGCTAGCGACCTGAAATATTTCTTAGCTCCAGCCATCCGGGAAATGTACGAATATGCTATCACCTTGGAGATGAGCGAATTAATTTGTCCCCCTGCTCCTTTAACGTGACCTTCTTGTCCACGGATGATGATAGTGTTGGTGTTCAGATCAAAAGATATACCAACTGTCAGTTTGTGGATCAGATCTATTTCTTGTGAACGATGTGTCTGGAGAAACAATAATATGCTCCGTTCTACTGAGATGCGTCTTTCATTGGGCGCTTCCCTTGTGTATGGTGCAGAGGACGCTTGTGAAACCATCCTCTGAGCCAGTCCATAGATACACTTTTCCTCTGCCTGTTGAGCGAGATTTCTCAAAGCTGCAATAACTGAAGTAACTTTGTGGGAAGTCCCTGTCACGGTGAAACCAGACATGTCCTCAGAGGGTATCACCAAAACATCTTCAGAAGTATGAGGAAAGCAAGCTGACAAATCTCTCTGGTTCACCTCCTTCCATACTTTAGGGGACATGGTCAGATGGGTTGTATTGATGTCCCCGAAGACATTCGTGATGGTCGTTTCAACGTCACGCGTAAATGTCTGTAGATCACAACTCAAGTCTGTTTCGTCCGTTCCGATCGCTACAGTAAGTGTATCTATACCATTCTGATCCCAGCAAATCTCAACAGATGCATACCTATCGTGTAATGCGGTTGTAAGTATGTTCTTGTAAAGATTTGATTGCTGGACGAAAGCAACCTTATCCACATCAAGGTTCCGGACCGTGTAGTGAGTATCTGTTTTAGAGGAAACAATGACACCCATTAAAGTAATAAAATACCACATTGGCCACGATTCACATGAAACCCAGTAACCGTTGAAACTACTTAAGGAACAAGATTAAGGAAATCTGTCTCTCTAATACTAGCAAATGTTGAAAGCATTCGGATTACAAAAAGATCAATTCGCAAATGAGGGATTTCCACAGTCCTTGAATAGACATTTCCATTTCTTCTTGAATGCAAACATGTATGTGCCTTTGAGCGTCACAGCGTTAGGCATTGTAGTGGTAAAAGCTACTGTGAATATAGAAGAAATCGAAGGCTGTGCACATTAAAGACATCGTTAATAAACGACACTGTATGACGAAGTCATTAGTGAGTACTATTGGGGTTTAACGAATAGCACCACCTACCCACCTGCCTACTTACCCACCCAGATGTTGTACTTACCCGCTAAATCACAACATAAAGGTCCATCTATAGAGAGTATTGAGCTTATTTCAGACGAGATGAGCGAGACGGCAGCATGTGGTGATTCTCCGGGCCTGCCCGTTGGAGACACCCGTTCTTCCCGTGGGATGTCAAGCAACAATCTGCGAGCAATTTCTTCATAGACGACAACACCATCGTCATTATTATCATCATCTTGCCTCTCCTCAACGACATTGTCACTGTTAACTCCACGTACATGCCTTGGAAAGAGAACATCTGTCACACCCAACTGTTTATCATTGGGCAGGCGCCCGATCTGCTGTCCGGAACGTTTAACGTCTTCCGCCATCGGTATGTATGAGTTTGTTCGACCTGGTTATTTTCTCCACAGTATACACCGACAGGTAGACCAACTACCGTTATTCTTAGTTGTCCAATGTCGAGTCGAACCTGTATGGTGAATGCCACAAGCTATACTTGCAACTGATTACAAACATGATCTTGTGACAAAATAGCTTCTGTACAAAGAGACCATACAACCAACCAATGACATGTGGTGTGGAGGTTCACAGGGAAATTTTACCTGAATTCCCTGTTCTAAAAATAACAGCGTACTAATCTTCCCATTTTAAACACAGCACACACACGTTATGCGCAGTTGCCAGCGCCCACCTGACACTATTATTATATTTCACCACGATTCAAGAAATGAAAAGATCTGACCCACTTTCACCAAGGCAGCCTTTCGATCTGAATGCAACACACCCACCAATGCCACTGTTTACGCATGAATGGTTTGTTAGCTCCGCAGCTTGTATCATAGAATGTGACGCAGTTTATGTTTGTGTTTTCACGTTTGCCTCTTTCAGTGTGGCGACGTTAAACCCAATTTCACCTCACCTCATCTTTCAGTGTGGTATGAAATCCAGGTCATCTTCGTCTCTGAATATCTTACTCAATGGCATGACAACAAAAGATTGTACACATCAACCCATAAACACACAAATCAGCACACAACGTAAGTAAACATTCAGATCGTCTCCATTGTAGATGGAGTGAATGTTGGTTTATGTCCATACGCCATACGCTATTCGAGGCACATCAGAACGGTATGGTTATAATATACTCTCGAGCTGGTAATGAGTGGTTGTCAACGAACAATGCTGAAAATGGGATGTGAGATTGATCATTTATAGAATAAAACATAAAATAATTCACTTGTATAGCGCCTAATTTCCAGGCTAGGCCTGCTCATCGGCGCTTTTGAGGAAAGCTGTGGAAAAGAGTTAATGGCTAAACAAAAATGTTTTAGAGACTTCTTGTACGTTCCAGCAATATCACGGCGGGGTACATCAGAAATGGGCTTCACACATTGTATCCGTATGGGGAGTCGAACCCGGATCTTTGTTGTGACTAGCCACTCACAAACTATCCACTAGCCTTCACCATCGCACTGACGTTTGTAGACGCGTGAAGATCCGGGTTAGAACTGGTCGTCAGCAACCCATGCTTGTCCTAAGAGACAACTAACGGGATCGGGTTAACACATGTCATCGTATCCCAAATGCGGAGATCGATGCTAATGATGTTGATCATTGGGTTGTCTAGTTCAGGTTCGATTATTTATAGACCGCCGCCATATAGCTGGAATCATGCTGTGTGCAGCGTGAAACATCAAACAAGCCAAACCCCGATACAAATGGAGTGACCGAACACAGGGTCGCAGGAATATACAAAGAACATACATGTTATTCAAATATGGTCTATATTCTCGAACTTGTGTTAACGCTTTAACTCTTTGTAATCTTTAAATATAAATGAGCGAGGTACGTTAGCTAAATCACAGGGGTTCGAATCACTGCTTGGGCAATAATTTTAAAAATAAAAATCTAGACTTTTGCAATCGTTTATTGTTTATATACGTCATGATTAATATACCTTTCCAATCGGCGAAGAAATAAAGATTTCAGAAAATTCTATCGCTACACAAGTGTATTTTATGTAATGAGTGCAGCGGTAGAATTTTCTAAAATCTCTATTTCTTCACCGATTTCGTTCAAATTTTGAAATATATCTTAATCATAACATATACAAACAATAAATGATTGCAAAAGTCAAGATGTCTATTATACAAAAAATATTGTCCAAACAGTGATTCGAACTATGAGCTAAATTATGTTGTGGCACCATGCCAGAAGAAATTGATTCGGTCGTTTCGGATGTCCATCCACACCTCTCGATACCCACTTTTTCCAGATATTTTGTAATGGAATAGAAAATCAGTTCTTCTCTGAATTAAGATGTTTCATATGAAACGAGTTATCCCTCTGGGTTGGCGTTTTCCTTATTTCTCAACTGTCGACAAGTTAGAGATTCTGATGTGGTGCGAACCTGTAAAAGATTCCTGTCTGTGACTGTGTCTGTAATGTTTCAAAGCACAATCAATACATCTCTTTCTCTTTAAGATTGTGTCCTCTTACTTAGGAATGTTGTCTTGACAATATCTTTCTGGGTACACTCTGGCTAGGTGAGAGTGAACCTTAAGATGCTGCATCATGCAAATGTGGCAAATTGTTTTTGTGCATAAAAAGTACATGGTTCATTTTGTATAGCAGGTGTATGGTATATTTTGTACAACAGGTATATGGTATATTTTGTATAGTAGGTGTATTATATATACTGAACATCATTGAAAACACACCAGTCTAAAATTGTCCATATTTTCATCAAGATGGATTTCAGCATGACAATGATCAATGAATATAACTAGCATGAAGTCGAAAGGCATGTCCAGTTGAAAAAATGCTTAAGAAACAAATTCCTGTCCACAGTATGACTCTTAATTCCAAAATGCATCAACATGCAGCCACGCCATGAAAAAAGCACGATTTTCATTCTGAAATCATACTGACTGTCACATTAAAAGCAGGTGTAAGAGAACCGATTCCAATTGCTTGACTAACAATTGTTAAAAGAGGACAGAGATGCCGAGGTTAACACCTAACGAAAGAGAACGTGCACTAGGCATGATTCAGGTTGGCACCAGCAGCAGGGATATTGCTCGATAACTTGGACTTGGCCACTCCACCATCGTTAGGCTTGATAGACGACATCAGTAGACAGGCAGCACCCGTGACCTTCAAAGACCTTGGCAACAACGTGTTACGACGCTCCATCAGGATCGCCATATTGACCTTGTCCATATCAGTGATTGAACACTGCCGACTGCCAGGACTGCTGCACTAGTTCAAGGTTGGCTACAATGGGCTAGCAGGCATTTTCAGTAAAGGTTACAACAATGGCATGGTGTGGTAGTCACGGACGAGTCACGTCTTCATCTACGTAATGCTGACGGCCGATTACGTGTTTGGGGTAGACGTGGTGAGCGTTATGCTGATGAGTGTGTGGTTCAGACAGACCTAATGGTGGTGGGAGCGTCATGGTCTGGGGTGGAATAAATTACAATCACAGGACTGCCTTCATGTCTGTCAAGGGAGAGTTAATGCCCTTTTAATTACCGTGAGCAGATTCTTCAGAATCACATCGTATCTGTCTTCAATCACCACCAAGATGTCCATACTTTCCAACAGGACAACGCACAACAAGACTTTCCATGCAGTATCTGGCCCAGCAACACATCCAGGTTATTCATTGGCCAGCACAGTCGCCAGATGTATCCCACATGGAGCACTTGTGGGACGAAATTGGTCAAAGTCTTTCGCGGTGACAACAGATGCGAAACATCCGGGAACTTGAGGCTGCACTACTGCAGAAGTGGAATGTCATCCCCAAAAACTCTATTCGGACGCTTACTGACTCAATGCAAATGCCGGTCACACGCGATATTGACTTTTCGATTTGACCCCACGTCTGTTTGATCCTTTCTGACTGTGGAACCTTTCAATGAATGAGCGTCTTTTCTGTGTTGTTGTTTTTGTCAGTCGTCCATCTGTTATTATCCACTCAAGACATATCAATTCCTTACACGTGCTTATAACAATCTGAAATTTTATAAGTGGTGCGTTTTCAATGATGTTCAGTATATTTGTATTGCAGGTGTATGGTATACATATGTTTTGTATAGCCGATGTATGATATTTTTTTATGTAAAAAGTGTATGGTATATTTTGAATAGCAGGTGTATGACATAGTTTGTATAGCAAGTGTATGGTATATTTTGTATGGCAGGTGTATGGTATATTTTGTATGGCAGGTGTACGGCATATTTTGTGTAGCACGTGTATGGTTTATTTTGTATAGCAGGTTTATGGTATATTTTGTGTGGTATATTGTATAGCAAGTGTATCGTTTATTTTGTATTGCAGGTGTATGGTATATTTTGTGAATGAGGTGTATGGTATATTTTGTATGGCATATTTTGTAAAACACTGTATGATATATTTTAAATAACAGGTTTATGGTATAAGTTTTATTGCAGGTGTATGGTTTACATTGTATTGCAGGCGTATAGCGCAGGTGTATGGTATATTTTGTATGACAGGTGTATTGTATATTTTGTATGGCAGGTGTATCACAACCGACTATATGCATAATGGTTCACAAGGATAAGCCGTATGCAGAATGTTGCCTGTCTATTTCTGATGAATGTAAGTTGCAGCAAACATGAGGATATCGTAAAGTCCCGAGCTTTCCTAGTGGTCTGCGGCAGCTAGTCTCTCCAGAGTGACCTCCCTTTGTCCTTATTTACGCAAGCTCCGTCTCGACGCTTGACAACTTCGAGATATAGAGCTGTGTGCTCCGTGCTCAGTTGTTGATGCACAGTTGAACTAAGAGCTGGCTGTACCTGACGAGATGAGGACAAATCGAGGCATCCTATGACCAGTCTTGTGTCTTATGTTCAAGCCTAGCAGGGACGAGGCTTCCGGGTCGTTTCACCCAAAGTCGTTTTGCCCAGATTGTTCCATCCCAATTCCAAACTAGGTCAATTCATCCCACATCAGGGGTCGTTTAACCCCTAATCAAGAGTTGTCTCACCCCCCAAAAATTGAGTATACATCTCATCTCATCACGCTTAAAACTTGAATGAACATTTAAATTAGTCAACACTGAGTTAGACATTACACTTGCATTTGTGTCATGGCGTCTGCATGTTTGGAGATCTGCCTCAGCTGAAAGAAGAGAGTAAGACCACATCAAGATGGTCTGCAGTGTGAAACGTGTCATCGCCCTCAACACAGAATATATGGCACAGATAATATTTAGTCGTAACAACTGTTTGACAATTTGAATATGCTGTTTAGACCCTATACATAGATGAATAGAATATTGAAACAATGTTATAGTTGATAATAATAATACATGTAATATGTTTTTGCTTGGGTGAAACAACCACTAAATGGGGTGAAACTGTATGGAGTGAAACTGTGCTGGGGTGAACGTTACCAGGGACGAGGCATCGGTATGAAGTCACCGACGATTTCTGCCGCCGTTTCTGCTTCAAATAGTTTTCTGGATTCAACAACAGAGAAATTGTCCCATTCAAGACATTCAACCGTGACAAATTCGGGACAAGTCCAGTGATGTATGTAATAGGTCCTATCATGTATCACTACTGTCACATCTTTGATCCATTGTATTGCGCTTTTCT